AGCTTTATGTTATTCCCAGGGCCTGGGCAGTTTTCTCCTGGTGGGAGAAGCACACTGGCCGTTGCCTGAGTGCCTCTGCTCGGCCAATTCAGGCGCTGTGGCGAGCAGAGCTATGGAGGGAGAGACAGCCTCAGGCTTCTAATTCCCGGACACCACCCACTTATGTCGCTCTCACAGAGCTGCCTATCACTGCCCGGAGTCCCAGGGCCTCAGAAGGAAGGCCTCAGACACGCAGAGGGACCAGGAGAAGCACAAAGGAGCGAGGTCCGACTGTGGGCATCGGTGCAGTGGCGGGTGGGCACCAGGTTAGGCCATCACGAGCCCTGCCCAGGGGAGGGCAGGAAGCTGCAGAGCCTGTAGGCCCCCCCAACCCCTCAGACCTCTGACTGTCCTGACCACTTCTCTCCAGACCACAAGGGCATCCAGATGAGGGCCAGAACTTTCTGGGGCAGGGAGGAGGCAGGAAAAATATAAAGACGCCAATTCAGACCAAGCAGGGCATCGGTGCATCAGTCTGCTGGGGGCCGGGTACATGGGGCACAGGGCGGTCTAACGGGGACCCGCCAGAGAGGCCATCGGGGCTGCTGAGGCTGCACAGAGTAGCCAGGAAGCACTGGGAGCATTCGACTGTGACCATCTGAAATCAACTACTCGGGAGAGGGCTCCCTCAAAGACTGAAGTGCAGTCATGCCACCTTTGGCCAAGAAACCCTCTGTGGCTTTCCAGCTCACTCCACATCAAAACCAGTGTCCTCATGACAGTCTATGGTGGGCTCTGCTGCCACCCCTTCAGCCCCCACGCCTGCTTCTCTCCCGCTGTCCTTTTTGCCTCCGCCTCCAGCCCCATCCTGTTAACACATCAGGAAGCCCTCTTCACACTCCCTGCCTGAAATCTTCCTCCTCAGCGCCGACGCATGGTCCCACCTCATCTCCCGCAAGTGCTCCAACGCCAACCGCTTCCCTTGCGCCATGAGTCCCCAAGCCCCGACTCTGGTCTGTTTCTCCTGCACCATGTGCGGTAAACTGCTGGTGCGTTGATACGTACCCCCCGCGTGGTTCTCCTCACAGGAGGGAAAAGTTCCACAAAGGCAGATTTTTGTTTTGCTTTTTTTGCTGTTGGAGAACAGGTATCTCTCTCCTGTCTAGCACAGTGCCTGGCGTGCGTTGATGCTTGAAAAAGATATTTGCCAAATGGGACTGACCCCCTGAAAGCAGAGCGCTTTCATCAGGACATGGATACACAGCCCAGTCCACACAGGGATTGAACACTCGGCAAGAACGCCTCAAGACCTGGCGGAGGCCAGGGTCTGTGGCCCGGGGAGAGCCACAGATGCCCAGGTCTGTAACTGTGAATATTCACACTCAAGCGGTTCTGGTGGCCCATAGTCCTGTGAGGTGCTTAATCAGGGCACAGAAATCAAAAAAAGTGCCCCTCTGACTGACCGGAAAGTACCGCTGGATGTATAAAGAAGCCTCCACACACGGAAGCGCAGAGGAGCTTTGTCACCAGAATCCCAGGTTTGTGACCTCCCTCAACTTGCCGCCTTGCCCATGAGCTCCGGTAACAGCTCCAGCCAGGTCCCTGAGGGGAGGCTGGAATCCCCACAGGGGGGGACCCCAGGGAGAGGGGCTGGCACACGCAGCAGGCAGCACCACACACAAACCCATGCACACACACGCGACACATGCGAACACACACGCACACACACGCACATGCATGCACACACGCGCACACCTACATATGCACACACACACAGGCGCACACACATGTACGCCTAGGACACAGCCATGAGATGCGTGGGGAGACAGGGCTGGGGGCCATGACATGCATGTGGGCATGGCCGGCTCTGTGCCTGCCGAAATGGGGACAGTGGAGACAGTGGAGACAGGCAGCACGATAGCGTGGATGCACAGAGGTCAACATGAGGTTAGAGGCAGAAGAGAGGGGTTGAGACGTGATCAGCAGACGGGCCCTGCTTCCAGGGTGCGAAATGGCACACTTCAGGAGTCACAGGATGTGGGGTAGGGAACAGGGAGGGCTCAGGGAGCACAGGGTCCCCTGGCAGGGGCTCCGTGCCCAGGCCCACCTGGGACTTGCCCTCGGCCGCGTCCCCCAACTGTGTACCCAGTCACAGGTGCCCACCCTCAGTCTGGGCGTGGCGGGGATGGCCCTTAAGACGAGGAGCTTGAGGAGCATACACATCACCATGCAGGCATCCAGGGTGACGGGTCAGCCACCTGAGGATGCCATGTCACAGACATGGAAATTTTGTTTCAAGGTCTGTAAGGAATTTTAGGGATCCAATCCAACTTGCTGATTTGACAGAAGGGGAGAGGGCTCAGTCATGCAGGGAGCTGGCAGGAAGGAAGGGCCTAGAACCCAGACCTCCTGGCCGGAGAGTGGGGCCTCGCCGTTTATGTGCCCGCTGGTCAGAGAGGGGGTGGGCGAGGAAGGGGTTGTGAGGGGCCCTGGCCCAGGAGTGACAGGAGCTTGGGGGCAGAGGTCACAGACTCCTGTACATCCTCTCCTTGGGCTGGATCTCATGGAGGACCCCTGCCATGCTGAGTCACATCAACAAAGAATGAGGCGAAGGAGATGAGATGATAGAAAAGGGAGAGAGGAAAAAGCAGAGAGACCCAGCTCCAGGAAGAGCAAACTGCTCAGTCCCTAGAAGTGGCTGCAGCAGGATTTGTAAAACATCGTCCAATTAAACTGTGCTAGACCTTGGGCCAGGAATGGCCCTCTGCTTCCCAACCACTGACTGTTTTACAGATGGGGACACCGACACCCCAAAGAGGGCCCATGCCTTGCAAAGAGCTACTGGAAAGTCTGCAGCTGTTTAGGGGCAATGTCTAGCTGGCTGCCTCTGACTCAGCTTTTTCTCATACACCAGGCCCTCTGGGGATGCAGTTGCTGATGGCAAGGGCCTGGAGGCCATTCTGCAGGGCTGCAGAGGCACAGTCGGCAGGCGATGCCCACCTGTACAGGAGCAGCCATCTCTCTCTCCTTCACCTCTGCTTCCCCCCGAAAGGAGGAACTCATTGCTGACAAACCAGCCCTCCCACCAGTGGGGGGCAGAGCGGGTTTTGAGGGATGAAGTATTATGGGAAGGGGTTATTGGTGCTGATGCCTGAAGGGCAGGGCCCCGGCTCAGCCCCTACCTGGTCCAGGTGACACTCACCATTCATCTGGGAGGGTGACAGCGAGTAGTCGCGGTCCGTGTGCCGCCTGTCTGGCTTCAAGTTGCGGCTCTGCCGGCCAGAACCCTCCAGCATGTTCACGATCTCGCCACGGTCGATGCTCTGCAGGGCTGTGCACAGATTTTCCACTGTGGGCGCAGAAGAGAGATATGCGTTACTCCAGGCCAGCGAGCAAGGATCACATGGGCTCAGAAAATGGGGTCAGGACGAAGATGGAGAAGGGAGATAATTTTTTTCAGAAGGTGGAGGTACCCTCTTTTCCTAGAATCAAAACAAACTTCCTCTTGGGAGAATACTTTTTATACTTCAACAGATCTTTTCCAAATGCTAACAGTGGGCAGTTATTTTATTTACTGGCCTGTTACCAAAAAAACAGTAAATTATTTTATTTATTGGTCTCACTCTGTCACCCAGGCGGGAGTGCAGTGGGGCAATCTTGGTTCACTGTCCATCTCCCAGGTTCAAGCAATTCTCGTGTGTCAGCCTCCTGAGTAGCTCAGATTACAGGTGCATGCCACCTCACCCGGCTAATTTTTGTACTTTTAGTAGAGACAGGGTTTTGCCATGTTGGCCAGGCTGGTCTCGAACTCCTGACTTCAAGTGATCTGCCTGTCTTGGCCTCCCAAAGTGCTGGGATTATAGGCGTGAGCCACCGCGCCCACCACAGTGGCCAATTTAAAAGTCTAGAAAGACTGTTTTTTATTTTTATTTTTATTTTTGTAATCTAAGAGGAGTACTACAAGAAAATAAGGATTAGAATGATTAGATTCTGTCCTTTTGAAATTCTTGGTCCTTGCCAGATGATTTGAGATGCAAATGTAAACACTCAATTTCTACTTAGTGGTTTTGAGTCTGGGAATCTGGTTGAGGAGGAGCTGAAAAGAGAACGAGGCAAAGTTCCCTCCAGGTTGGAGGAAGCTCCTGGGAGAATGAGAACTGGTTCAGACTGGGGTCCAGCTTACCCAGACTGTGTCCTGAGAGGACAATACTCATTTGCTTGGGAAATTCAACAGGAAGACCTCAAAGATGAGTCATACACCCTGCACACACATTGTCATCTAGGAGTCCTGATACAATTTTTATTTTATGTTTTTTAGAGTCAGGGTTTTGCTTGTTGCCCAGGCTGGAGTGCAGCAGTGCAACTGTAGCTCACTGAAGCCTTGACCTCCCAGGCTCAAGTGATCCTCCTGCCTCAGCCTCCAGAGTAGTTGGGACTACAGGTGTGTGCCACCACACCCAGCTAATTTTTAAAGGGTTATGTTACATAGTCTGCTCTCAAACTCCTGTGCTCAAGCAGTCCTCCCACCTTGGCCTCCCAAAGTGTGGGGACTACAGGTGGGAGCCACTGTGCCAGGCTTTGCAATTTTTATCTTATTCCAAGGATATTAGAAAGGCTGAGGCCAAGCTTCTCTCATCATGCCTTCCGGCAGGACTGCCTGGAGACCTCCTGATGCGAAAGGCGCATGCGTGTGTGTGAGAGAGACAGACAGACTGACTCCAGAGGCCAGTGTCATGAATGGAATTTGAAGAAAGAACAGTTGGGTGGGGAGGAGGTCCTAGGACAGGCTTCCTCAGCGGGACGGTACTGACTGTCTGTGTTTTGGCCTTCACGGATGACCCAGAGGTTCAGCAAGGCCACGCTCTGCTCCAACAGGGAGTTGGGATTTTCCACTCGGATCCTGTTGATGTCTTCCACACTGAACTGCAGCTCCCGGGCCAACTCTGCAAGCAAAGAAACAATGGCAAATGTGAGCCATGCAGGGGGCCTCCAGCACACAGGCTGGATGGGCACTGGGGCGTGAGGGCACGCAGTGGGGAGCACAGGAAGCTCTGAGGCAGCCTCCCTGTGGATTTGGTCTTCCTTCTTATCAAGAAGTTTCTTATGAAATGCCAGCACCTATACCTTTATATCTCCAGAAAATGGAAGAACGGGAGAGGTGCTTGATAAATAGGTCCTGAATGAATGAATGAATGAATGAATGAATGATTAAATGTCCTTTCTTCCTTTCATAACTTCCAATATGAGATGACATGACCTTTCAGCAAGGTCAGCAACTTCTGCAAGGTCACAGAGTCAGTGAGTCCCTGAGCCAGGAGGGAGCCGCACCTGCCAATTCTCACCCCAGCGCTGCCTTGGCCACACCAGGACACCACGCCCTGCTGCCGAGAACCAGTGAGAACAGAAATGGACTCCTGAGCTTATGCTTCTTCAGGGAGAGGTGTTATTTACATTTAAAATGAAAATACAAGTTCCCATCTAAATGCAAGGCAATAATGCAGACTGTTAGCCAAAATCCCCCATTATTTTTATTGTTATTTCTTTAGAAGGAAAATAGCATTAGAGTCTAATTTCAAGGATGAAGAAGACTGGGGAGAAAGGGATGGTGAGAATCAGAACACGCACACACAACACAAACGTGCACACACAACACATATGCGCGCACACATGCATGCACATACACGCCCCCTGAGCAGCCAGCAGTCATGGTTTAAAGAAGGAGCCATGTCTGGACTTCTGTCTTTCCACAAGTTATTGCCAAAAGGTTTCTGAGTATGTCTAAAGTCTTCTTTAGTGAATGAAGTGAAGTGAAGTGAATGAAGGGAGTCTACTCATATAAAGGCTAACAAAAAATAAGGAGGGGGAGGGGAAGCCATCTTCTCAGCGTCAACAAGAATTGAGCGCTGGGCTCTGGACAGAAATACAGTTATAATTAAGCATTCACCAAGCTGCATTTGGGTCCTCTTCTTTGTTGCTCAAAGCCACACAGTGCTGGATACTGACCACTTGCACCCCCATTGTTCCTAAAGACAGGGTTTCTGACATTAGGCTTCTGTTTAAGGATCCCTTAAGATGGTTTTCAGAGTCCCAATTCCAGCAACCAGTCTGAAGGCAGGGATCAGCACGAGAACGTAGCTTCTTCCTCTCCCTGTCCATGACTTCACCCTGTACTTTCCAACCAATCAACCACCTCCACACTTCAGCCACTCCAAAGCCTTTAACAGCCCTAACCCTGAACGCCTCCTTGGGGAGATGGATTTGAGGTTTCCTCCTCCCTCCTTGTTTGGTGGCCCTGTGATTAAGCCTCTTTCACTGCTGCAACCCCGTGTCTCCGTGTGTCTTGACTTGCCATTCACATCGGGCAATGGACCTGCTGCGGTTACACAGGGAGAATCCAGTTCTAGGGTCTGTGGTTGGGCACAGCACATTCTGAGCCTTCACTTTATTTGCCCACCTGCCTCCCTTAAATAAGATCGACCCCAATGCCTGGCAGGACTTCTGCGCGATCCAGGCACAGCCACGGACTATAGTGAAATATGTCGAGACTTGCCCTCTCCTTCCCTCCTTTTCAAGGTCGCCTGTAACCTCAAAAGTTGATTCTTTCTTAGAAAGGAAAGTCAGACAGAGATGGAGGCAGGGGGCTCCCCCTTCCATGGGCACTCAATGGTGTGGCTTGGACAGCAGACCCGGCTCAGACAATCACAAATCAGATAACCCATGGGTGATAAAAGGAGGGTTAGAAATGCCTCATTCATTGCTCATTACGGGGGAAGAGGGTAGGTGAGACGGACAAAGTGCTTTTCTGCCCCCAATTCCCCACTCACCTGCCCAGCTGAGACCGAGGTGCTCTGAGATAACAGCCATCTTCTCTGCCTGGTCTGTCCCGCTGAGAAGACCTGGGGAGAAGCATTAGATTTCATTTAGTAGCCAGGGCAGGACACAGTTGACAGGCGTGAGGATACGGCCTTTGACGGACGTGGCTTCCGTGTGCACTGGGGTGATTGTCTAGACTCTCTGCAAGATCAGGGGAAGACCCGAGTCAGCTCTGCAGCTGCTTTTGGAACTGGCTGAGCGAGCGGCACCTCAGCAGAGCCCTCACAGGGCTGCAGGGAGATAAGCTCACACCCACCCTTCTTGGGAAGGGAGCAAGCATGCATTATCACACAGAGGCTGTACCTGGTGTGGACTCACTGAGAATGCTGTATCGCAGGGCCAGGGGTGTCGGCGTCCTTCTCCTATCTTCAGCTCCGCTTCCCTGCAGAAGAAGAAAGGGTGCTTTGGGTTTTGGACTCTCCCCACCTTCCTAGAGAAGGTGATCTGAGCTCCTATGATGCAGGGGTGGGGAAGGCTGACCCCAGTCCTGGTAAACAGTCCGTTTCTTCAGGGACTTAGCACAAAGAGTAACGCATGGGAGGAGTGGGAGTGAAGGGAAGCTGACGAAGTGTACATGCGTTATTAATCACAGTCATAATAACGGCAAGCTCACGTCACCCCATCACCTGTGAGGCCCTATTTAATGTTCATGGCAACGTAGGAGCTGGGTACTGTATTACTCCCATTTCATCAATAAGGAAACTGAAGCATAGAGAGACTAAGTTCCTTGCCCAAGATCACCCAGTTAATAGGTGTTGGAGCTGGGTTTGAACTTAAAACAATTGTTTTTCTTTTTGGATTTCTCTCTGCTTCAAAGACCCGTTTCTGTACTGCCCTAAGGCCTTAACATCACAGCCCTGTGGAAAGCATCCAGATGCTTGCCCAAGGCTGCAGAAAAATATTCTCTCTCTTTTGTTTTTAAGTGCCAGGGTCTCACTCTGTCTGTGAAGCTAGAGTGCAGTGCAATGGCACGATCATGGCTCACTGCAGCCTCAAACTCCTGGTCTCAAGTGATCCTTCTGCCTCAGCCTCCCGAGTGCTGGGGACTACAGGTGCATGCCACCATGCCCAGCTAATTTTTCACTTTTATTTTTTTGTACAGACAGGATCTCACTATGTTGCCCAGGTTAGTCTTGAACTCCTGGGCTCAAGCAATCCTCTTGTCCCAGCCTCCCAAAGCACTGGGGTTACAGGCATGAGCCTCTGTGCCCAGCCTGAAAATCCTCTTTTGAAAGATAAGTTGGTTCACCCTCATCTCATCCCCAAAAAGAAAAGAGATTGAGCCATGGACTTATGAATGTAACCTTGCTTCTTTCCTAGTTTAGCATGGAAGGCTAATGATTAAAACAACAACAACAGCAAAACAACACCAACGAAAACCACGGAGACGGTCTGGAGACGTATGATCCCTCCAAAGTCCCTAGCAGAGGTGGTGACTGGGATACTCTTACAGGTATCGACAAATGAACATACGTGGCCAAGACTCCTTTGCTGAGCTCAAAACCCTGGGTGTTTGCAGTGGCTGAGGACACCAGGCTTCCCTTCTGTGAGGGCCTAGCACCCTGGGAAGATAAGCAGGTAGATGAAAAAGCGGCCTGAGAGAAGCCATGCCGGGGCTGGGAGACCTTAGCAGCTCTCCTTGGTGCGAACCTTGGAGGCCTCGGGCCAGGGATACTGAGGCAGATGCTCTTAGGGCCCCTTGCCACCTTCACACCTAGGGAGCCCAGGGTCCACAGCGTGAATGTGCCCATCACCATCTGATACCAACATTTGTTCCTCCTGTCACATAACCAGCGCTGCACGCGAATTGCAGAGAGGGCCAGGGCACGGTCTCCCCCCAGGCCACAACATGAGCATGTGGAGGAGAGCTCAGCACCTTTGTGTGCCTCAGGGGACTCAAAGGTTCCACCAGAGAGAAGCCCCTTGGAAGTGCTGGACCTGGGGTCTGTTTGGGGACCGCCTATGGGGAAGCCTTCTCTGGCCAAGGCTCCTCGGCAGGTGCCAGCTCACCTTGCTGCAGGGGGGCATGGTGATGTTCAGATGGCAGAGTATGTGCTGGGTGTCCTCGTACTTCATCGCCTTGCGCAGAAATGACAGGGACCCTCCCGGCTCTCGACTGCTGTCCCTCACCTAAACTCAATCACACAAAGGAGAATTCAGGGGCCCTTTCCTAGGCCACTGGGCTGTCTGGTTTAGAGAATTCTGCCTCCCCAACTTCCTAGACCCAGAGAAGAGGTCAGCCAGAGGGTGCCGGCACCTTTACAGGTATGGCCAGACGGTTCTCCCGAAATGACTGGAAGTGGAAGCTCCGCTGCTGGGCAGCTTTCTTCACAGGCACCAAGTTCCCGGAGAGTTCTGCAAAGAGGGACATTCCTTCCAACACCTACAGGAGAGGAAAAGCAGATACAGCTTGTCAGGGAGAGAAGGGCCCAGATGTCCCACCTTCAACCTTCGGTCCTTCCCTCTCCAAGACACACCCTGCCACAGCAAGAGGCATGGGGGTGTGTGCTGAGAAATCCACTATTTGTTTTGGGAAAGGCTTTATTTCTAAAATTGTGATCAATGAGGCATGCTTCCTGACTTCAATGGATTTTGTTATATGTAGCGATCTTCTAATATCCCTGAGATGTTGATGAGAATTGCTATCAAGTACTCCAAAACGTCACTTGAATATCATAACATAGTTTCTGAAAAACAAACAAACAAACAAACAAAAAAAAACACCACCACCACCAACAAAAAATCCAGGTTCTGGGCTGGGCATTGCGGCTCATGCCTGTAATCCCTCCAGTTTAGAAGGCCAAAGTGGGAAGATTGCTTGAGTTCAGGAGTTTGAGACCAGCCTGGGCAACACAAGGAGATCCCCATCTTTACAAAAAAAAATGTTAAAAATTAGCCAGGTGTGGTGGCAAGTGCCTGTAGTCCCAGCTACGTGGGATGCTGAGGCAGGAGGATCACTGGAGGCCAGGAGTTTGAGGCTGCAGTGGGCATCATGGCACCACTGCACTCCAGCCTGGGCAACAGACTGAGATCCTGTTTCTAAAAATAAAACCAAGATTCTGTTTTTACGTCTGTCCAAAGATGCTTTGTTCATGAGAAGAGCTGGAAAGCACTTGCTCTATTTTAATCTCACCGATAATAATGGTCCCTACTGTGTATATATAAAGCTTTCAACTGAGAAGTTATCATTAACCCATTTGACAGTTGAAAAAATTGAGGCCCAAAGAGAAAAACCGGTTTGCCTCGTTAGTGCCTAAGACAGGATTAGAACCAAGGTTCCAGTCCTGCGCTTGTTCTACGGGGCCCTCAGCCTTCCCCAGGAAAACTCAGCACAGATTCTGAGGCTTAGATCACTGCTGGCTTTCTACACATCTTAAACCAAGTGGGTCTCTTAGGATCGGGAACCGGTTCAGACCTAGCCCCCATGCCTTCACTCTGCGCATTATCTGTTGAGCCCTTTCCTCTGCCTCCTCACTTGGGTGCTACTGAAACTCTAGCACAGCAGGTCACAGTGTGGACTCGGGCCAGAGATGACCTGGATAAATCCTGTCTCGACCACTCACTTAGCTGTGTGACCATGGGCACGTTACTTAACCTCTCAGCCTCAGTTTCTTAATACCTAAATAAGGAATAATAAAGGTACCCACAAATATGATAATTAAATGAGATTATGCAAGAAAAACATTTTTAGTTATTTGTTTAATAGAGATGGCATCTCACTATGTTGCCCAGGCTGGTCTCAAACTCCTGGGCTCAAAGCGATCCACCTGCCTCAGCCTTCCAAAGTGTTGGGATTATAGGCATGAGCCACTGAGCCTGGCCAGCACTTTCGTTTGTTTGTTTTTTGTTTTGTTTCTTGCCCCCACCACCATACCCAGCTGGCTAGTACTGTTTTTTGTTTTTTGTTTTTTAAGACAGAGTCTTGCTCTGTCGCCCAGGCTGGAGAGCAGCGGTGCGATCTCGGCTCATTGCAACCTCTGCCTCCCGAGTTCAAGTGATTCTCCTGTCTCAGCCACCCGAGTAGCTGGGATTACAGGCCTGTGCCACCACGCCGGCTAATTTTTGTATTTTTAGTAGAGACAGGGTTTCACCATGTTGGCCAGGCTGGTCTCTAACTCCTGACCTCAGGTGATCCACCCACCTCGGCCTCCCAAAGTGTTGAGATGACAGGCGTGAGCCACTGTGCCCGGCCTGTCCAGCACTTTTAATAGTCCCTGGTGCACAAGACCTTCTGCAAATGCCAACTCTTTTCACAGATCACTGGACCAAAAGCCTGCAGCCTCCTCTGATATGTGCATGGTGGCATCTCTCACCTTTCCTGAAGCTTATCTAAGACGCTTCTCAAGAGGGGTCTCAAAGAGAGACAGCTGTGGAGCCCCTCGTCTACAGAGGGAGGACTTCCTGCCTGCACCCGGCAGGCGTGTTCTGGAGAAATGGCGGGAGGGTTTGTCCCAGAGGCGGTGCAGGGCCCAGCCCCATACCTCTATGTCCCTGCTCCGGGCCACCTCCACGAAGTTCTCATGCTGCTCCAGGGTCTTGTCCACTTTATCATCCGTCATGCAGTAGCAGCGCAGGCGCCCCTCTCGGGGGTCATTCATCTTGGCAAAGATGACGAATTTGGCCATGTAGGGCACTGCGGTGAGCTCTTTGTACAGCAGGGTGGCGAAGTTCACAGCCTCAGCGGTCCGAGGACAGTCTGACAGCCAAAACCTAAAAAGGAGGGCACGTTATAATGTGTTCCCAAGTGCCCAACAGGGAGCATCCTTTCCGTCCAGATGGAAGCAGCCCATGAACCACGCCATGGCTACTCTTGCCACACCTGTGGTCACAGAGGCTTCCACGTGGAGGGGACAGTGAGGGAGCCTCAGTCTCAGGCCTGAGGATGGCCCACACAGTGCTGGGCTGGGCTGGCCTTGTCTCACCTGGCGGAGACGTTGGTGGTGAAGTTGGCGCACTCATTGGCATATACAAGTTTGGTGGTTCCTGTTATGTCTTCCCACTGAGCTTGGTCTGTTCCTCCTGTAACACCGGCAGAAACGGGGCTGGGGACAGTCTTCAGGACGTAAGCATGGAGCTTACTAAAATGCTAAGGCCCTGGTGTGCAAGGTGAAACTGGGTGAGGCTCACTTGGTCTGCAGCCCTGGGCACACCTACCCTCACCCTCTGCTCTTCCTCCTAGCGACCTGCACGCCCGTCCTCCTAGGGCTTGGAGGGTTCTTCCCCAGGGCCATGGACTTTTTTTTTTTTTTTTTTATAGATGGAGTTTCATGCTTGTTGCCCAGGAGTGGAATGAACTCGGCTCACTGCAACCTCCACCCCCCAGGTTCAAGCAATTCTCCTGCCTCAGCCTCTGGAGTAGCTGGGTTTACAGGCGTGCGCCACCACGCCTGACTAATTTTTGTATTTTTAGTAGAGATGGGGTTTCTCCATGTTGGTCAGGCTTGTCTCGAACTCTTGACCTCAGGTGATCCACCTGCCTCGGCCTCCCGAAGTGCTGGGATTACAGGCGTGAGCCACTGCATGGGCATGGACTTTTATGCAGATGCATCATCCTTCCACCTCTTGGAAGAGCACCTCACTCCCGGGGAAGCCAACAAAAACTAAGGGGATTGCTGGCCTCGCCTTCTCGCGTCACCCCCTTACTGTGTTCCAGAAGCACTGCAGCTGTGGAGAACACAAGTCTGAGACAGGGGCCCCTCTCACCAATGACGCTGCAAAGCAGGCGCAGGCTGGTGGTGTCTCCCTCCCCACTGTCCCTCGGGTTGTCGGTCCAGGAAGGAGGTAGCGGGATCCGAAGTCCGATGGGGCGGTGGAACTTCCGGCGCCGGGGCTCCACGGTGACAATGGGGCTGAATGTGGCCTGGTTGCCCAGGAGCTTAGTGACAAGCTCATCTGGGACAGGCTGGGCCTGTGAAATGACAGAGGCAGGACACTCAGGCCCAAGCAGGAGAGGGGCTAGTCAGACGGGAGGCAGCTCCATGCCCGGAGAGAGTGGCCGTCGGTGCATGGGGTCCCCTCTGCTGTTGGACCGCAGGACTGACATGGTGGAGCTCGCCTTCCTGAGCCCTTTCTCCCCCTCTCCTCTGCTTCTTACTCCCAGGGCTGGTGCATCTTTGCTTGCATCACGGCCAGCTCCCAGAGGTCATGCGGTTCCCGCATGCTGCACAGACCGGGTCATGCAGCTTGATGGATGCACCTTATCAGTGAGCTTCCACCTCACCCCTTCCCACTCAACTCTCCTTTGAGCTTTAAAGTCAGATCTGCACTGTGGCATTTCAAAGCACTGGACAAAAGCATGGGGATGTCCTGGGGAAGAGGGTGGCCTTCCCGGGGGCCTGGAGTTCAGTCCACCCCCAGGACCTGGCGGGGAGGAGAGCTGTCACCTGCAGAGCCAGCTTCACTCTCTTGGTGACTGCATTCTCCGGGAACGTTGCCTGTACCAGGGGCACCAGCTTGCTCTTCAGGGAGCCCCCTTCAGGACCGATGGTGTCGTAGTCCTGGCAGAGCCGCGACATGATCACAAAGTACAGCGGGAAGTCGGTGGTGATGATTCGGCACACCCTCTTCTTCTCCAGCTCCTCCAGGCTCCCCAGCTCTGGAACCACACACACAGGCCACCACCCCGGTCACATCAGGCACGGGTTCAGGCCTTCCAGGGGCCCCAGAGCCTCCTTGTCCCCAAGACCCAGTGCACACACCCTCTCCAGGTGCCGGGCGGCATAGTGGCCAGAAGAAGTGCCCAGAGGCCCAGAGGCCCAGCAGAGCAGATGCGGCTGCAGGCAGCAGCTGAGCATCCCCTCACACATCCTGGGGACCCAGGGCTTGTCCACACCAGGCCATTTCCAGCCTCTTGGGGCTTCCCAAACTCCAGGTGGCCCTGAAAGACCACCTTTAAGGTGCAACTCAAACCCCTCTTCCGCAAGGAGGGGACCCAGCCCTGGGATCCCCCCTACTACCTTCGTCCATCCCGTTGAGGATCTGATCCAGGTAGCTCTCTCCATAGCGGCTCCTGTGCTCCTTCCACACGGAGCCGTTTTCACTCCTCAGAACCACGAGCTCCCGGTCTCCACGGCCATGGGAGGCAAAGTGCGGGATCTCCACGATTACAGGGCTGAGGCAAGGACACCGTGGTGGTGGGGAGGTGCTCACACAGGGCAGGCAGGGCACAGGGAGGGATGGGGCTGCTGGCTCCCACCCAGATGGAGAAGGCGCTTCCACAGCCACGTGGAGGCCCTACCTGCAGGCAGGTCTCTAAGTGGACCAGACCCGTGGGGGGGTCCCCCGGGCTTCCCACAGCCCTGCTTGCTCCCCACCAGGCTTGCAGTAACAGTGAGGGCAGGGCCAGTCTCATTTCACGGGGGCTCTGCTCCCACGACCTAAGGATCCTGTCCTTGCACCTGATTCTAAAAATCCATCTGACATCCCTAGACGGGTAACCTCATCTATCAACTGGTCATAATGACATTTCCTTCGGAGGGACGCTTTGAGGACAAAGAAAGGTCAATGAGAAAACTTGCTGCTTTGCAAATTGTGGTGACCGCTCTGAGCGGGGCCAGGAGGGTGGACAGAGGTAGAAGGCAGGGCCTCCTGGTCAGCCCTGTCCCCACATCACACCCATGGTGCCTGAAGGGTAGCAAAGCTCCAGGAGGAGCCCAGGCTGCTTCAGGGAGGTGGGCCATAGGCCTCTGGAGCTGCGTACTTCGCTCGTCCGCAGGGGAAACAGCCAGGGAGGCTGTGTTCCTGGGGACTCTCAGTGCATAAATGGTCAGACCCTCAGAGCCTCAGATTGGCCTTGTCTCTAGTGTCACGCAATATTTAAGAGTTGTTTTTTTGGTTTTGTTTTTTATTTTTTACAATGACGGGGTCTTGCTATGTTTTCCAGGCTGGTCTCGAACTCCTGGCCTCAAGCGATGCTCTCACCTCAGCCTCCCAAAGCATTGGAATTACAGGCGTGAGCTATCATGCCCGATCTGAGATCTGAGAGTTGTAAGCCCTCTCAGGGCTATGGACGCCTTCGTGTGTTAGGAAAAGTCAGGGAAAGGGGAGGGGCACCCAGTTCTGTTTCCCCGTCAGGACAGTGGAGATGGCGTGGCCTCCGTGGCACAGGGACAGGTGAGGACATGGGCTGCCTGTGCATGCTCACCTCAGGAACTGTGCCCCTGTGGGCCCCAGCGCGATGATCCTGCTGGCCAGGCCCTCCTCCTCGGCCAGTGGGGGTGGCGTGCTGAGCTTCTGGGGCTTGACCAGGCGGCAGGTGATGCGGGTGGGCGCTGCGCACGTCCGTGGTGGGATCACCACTCGCAGGCCGTTGTGGCGACTTCCTCTCATGGAACCACCCCGGGCGTCGACCATGAAGCTCACCAGAAACCTAGGAGTGGGGCAGATGCACGCTGGGCTTCTGCATCCCCTCTGGGAGATGGAGACAGGAGTCCCCGAGCCCTGTGCCCGCCACTCACCCTGTGTGCACCGGGCTGGCCACCGGGCTGATGTTGTCTGAGGTCTCGGTGGCCGGACTGCTGGGGATGAGGGAGTCCTCATCATACTCTTTAGATGCCTGAGGACAAAGAAAAGGTCCTCCTGTTCCACTTCCTCCCTGGCCGGCTGGATGCCGTACCAGGGCATGGAGGCTTGGAAGAGCCTTGCTGCTAGAAACCAGGTGCCACGTGGAGAAAGTGCTCCCACAGGACCCCACCACCCTATCAGACAAGGCTGTCCTGGAGTCTAAAAGGAGACAGGAGCTTCCTCCCACCTCCATGCCTCTCCTGGGCTCAAGACCCTGGGACACAGCCTTGGAATGGATGGAGCCAGTCCTCACCATTCAGTCTGACTCCTGGCCCCCAGGCCCACTGCACCTGCTGCAGACCTGCCCCCTTCTTTCCAGCTCTGCCCACGGGGAGCCCTGCCCTCGGCAGGCCAACTTCCTCTAGGACGGGCACTGCATCCCAGCACCATGACCGCCTCACCACTTAGCTGTGGGTGGGCTACCTGCCCTGTGGACATCTGGAGTCCATGAGGTGAACACAACAGACTCCCGCCCTTGTGGGGCTTCCTGCTTCCTCACCTGTATAGCGGGGACTTGCCTTAGGGTAACATTGCAACTACAGGGATGCCAGCCTACCCTGGCACAGCCAGCAGGACCTGAGCCCGGCCTTGGTGCTCTCTAGATCTTCACGTCCGCTTTTCCCCCAGTCCAGAACATCCTTGTCCCTCACCGTTGTTGATCTAATCCTCTCCACTCCCCACATCTCACCTCCTCCACAGATACTCCCGGCCACCCTGGGGCTGGTTAGGGCCTCCCTGCTCTGCACTCTGCCAGCACTCACACCACAGAGTGGAGCACTCCCCTGCTCTCCCTCCCGGTTCTGTGCTAACTGAGTTCACGCGTCCGAGTCCACTCTTTCCGGTTGGGCCCTGGCTCCCAGGAGGCAGGTGTCCAGCCCTCCTGCCTGAGCCTGTCCAGGGCGCACAGCAGGAATCCAGTAAACATCTGCTGGCTGGAATTCCTACCCTAGGCCAAGAGTTGAAGACAGTGGGCTGGTCAAGGACCCGCGGGTTTCTCACTGCTGCTGTCCTGGGCTGCATCCAAGGACTGAGCCACCACAGGATAGGGCCCCATCTGACCATCTCTCCCAGACGCGGCCCACCCAATGCCGCCGATGTTGCACCATTATGAGGCGTCCAAGCGTGGAATGCCAGTTGGACAGTGAGTGGCATGTGAGCTATCAGTGTCTATTGTGCTACGTACAGGCCACCCCTCAACAATCACTGTCCCGGGGTACTCATGCTCTCCACGTGGGGAAACCACAGAGAAGCAGCTTCTTACCTGCTCCTGCTCTTCTGTCCTGATCACCACCGTCTCAGGTGTGACACAGGGAATCCTGGGGATGGCTGGAGATTCCACCCTGCATGCCAAGAACACCAGAACATCACAGGGCTGATCCACATGTGCACACAGCTTCCTCTTCCTCTTGCCTCCAAGTCTCTCCCTCCCGCTTTCCACTCCGGAGCCTGACTGCCCTTCACAACCTGGTGGAAGGACTGCCTCCTCCTCCATGAAGTCCTCCCCAATGACTCCAACCTGCACTCGCCACCCCTTTCTCCTCCTTTAGAACCTGTTGACAGAATCCTCGCTCTGGCTAACAATATATCTTTCTGTGTTGCTACATGACCACTTGGTGTGCATTTCAATCCCACCAAATGAATCGTAAGTTGCTTATGGTCAGGGTTACAGCTCTGTATTTCTTTCTAACAGATGTCTAGCAAATTCAAGTGGAGCAAATGGCCCCGTGGTTTCACTCCCCGCTTGTTCAGGGACATTTCCGTCTTTTCAGAAAACACCTAGGGCTTAGTGTTTCTACGAAGTCGTTGGTATTAGATTGCTTTGCAAAATGTCCCTGTGTACACTGTGCCCACAGTGAGATAACTCACAGCAGTCATGGGGGAAAGGAGAAATGTGGTCCAGGCAGACCCGAATCTCCCCTGGCTTGTACCTAACATACCTCAGGGGCAGAGGGATGCAGTCAGAGTTCGAGCTTAGCCTGGCAATAGTTTCTAATGTGAATCTTCCTCAACTTTTTTTTTTTTTTTTTTTTTTTGAGATGGAGTTTCACTCTTATTGCCCAGGCTGGAGTACAGTGGCACAATCTTGGCTCACTGCAACCTCCACCTCCCGGGTTCAAGCAGTTCTCCTGCCTCAGCCTCCCAAGTAGCTGGGACTATAGATGCGCACCGCCACATTCAGCTATTTTTCTGTATTTTTAGTAGAGACGGGGTTTCACCATGTTGGTCAGGTTGGTCATGAACTCCTGACCTCAGGTGATCCTCCTGCCTCAGTCTCCCAAAGTGCTGGGATTACAGGTGTGGGCTACCGCGCCCGGCCATGTTCCTCAACTTTTGGATGAGAAGTTGAGTGTGCATAAGATGGAGAGGGGGTGTGGATATAAGGCTGTGAATGAGGGGAGCCTGGGAGAGGAGGGGACACTGGAAGAGGAGCAGAGAGGCATCCAGGCAGCATGGTGTGAGGAATGCCTCCTCCTGCCCTGGTGGCTCAGGTGCACAGCTAGTGCATCCTAAGGTGCAAACCGTCTCTCTCTACGGGCAGCATGCCCAGCACCTGGCCTGCTGTGCTCTTCCTCCCTCTGGAATCCCTGCTCTGAGCCACAGGGCTACACCTCAGCATCCTCCTAGGGACCCTCCCAGGAGCGCTGCTCACACTTGGTCTAGCTTTGGCACAAAATCCAGGAGCTCCTTCTCTTCATCGACATCCCTGGAATCCGGCCTCTCAGGCTTGGAGCCGATGAGTTCTTCCCCTGAAACAGCAAGAGCTCAAGTGAGCGACAGGGTAGAGGGAGAAGAGTCCCTCTTACTGTTTTAAAAAGCTCTGTTCCCACTCCGCCTCTCAGAGCTTGCTCCTGAGGAGTGGGGAAGGCCTTGATGCTGCAAGGAGACCGGGAGCAATGTCTTTGCCCAGTCCTGGTCCTCCAGCTCTGGGACAGAGAGCAGGGCAGCCAACTCCTGACATCTTAGATGCCTGAGGCTTTGCAGGAAGCCAAAGACACAGCCAGAAAGAACTTTCTTCGCTTCGTTCCAATTCAAAACAGCCCTTTTAGGGTGCAATGACACCAAAGAAGGAACTGCTACTGCTCTTTTCCACTCCACACCAACAGAAGAACAAACTACAGTGGAACTGGACCCACTCATTTCAAAGGGCTGGAGAATTTTCTGTAACCATGGCAGCCAAAACCTCATTACTTCCAAAACCCATCACAAAGAGGTTCAAACTACGGGTCAATCAGCTGCCTGCACCTCTGACTGCCCCTTTGTTTCTCTCTCCTAGTTTGAACTGGAGCTGGAGCCCCGGCCCTCAACCTTGAGGGGTCATTCAATGCCACCCAGCAGTGAGCACCATGGCTTGTGATCTGGAGCTAACAGGATGGAAGAACAACAGCTCATGCAGTTATGATCACAAACATGGTGGCATGGGCACAGACACAGAGATGGACAGGCAGGAGCTGCCTGCCGGGCATGGGTCTCATGGGTGTGAATTCCTTGGTTTAGTTGAGCTCCTGGCTCCAGGTTATTCGCTGTCAGAGGAAGATGGAAAGCAGGAATGGATTAGTGAGCATCTGGGTTGCTTAGGGTGAAATGCACTCTAGTGAGAAAAGACCACAGGAAACAGAAAGCGTTTCATACCCATTATAGTTACATGAGCAGTTCCTGGAAAGCAAAGGAGAACAGAGTTGAAAGAAGGACCACATTGAAGGCAGTTAAAGCGAGAGACATATATTATCCAAAGGAGCACCAGACAGTTCTGCTTCTCTAGTTGACAAAGTTACACAACCACGGAATAACCCAGATGGAAAGGACTACCGAGCTGATCCAGCCCACCCCACTATTCAACATCCCCAGAGTTGAGGATCTTACTGCTCAATATCCCCATCTAATTAGTGATGAAATAAGGTTTCTTGGAGGTAGGAAAATACTGGAAGCATTCTGTAGTTCATACAAGCTGAGACTATAGTAATTTCTTTCTTTTTCTTTTAGAGACAGGGTCTGGCTCTGTCACCCAGGCTGGAGTGCGGTGGGGTGATTACAGCTCACTGCAGCCTCAAGCTCCTGGACTCAAGCAATCCTCCCACCTCAGCCTCCAGAGAAGCTGGGACTATAAATGTGCACCACCACACCCCACTAATTTTTAGTTCCAATTTTTTTTTGTAGAGACGGGGGTCTCCCTTTTTTGCCCAAGGCTGGTCTTGAACTCCTAGCCTCAAGCAATCCTCCAACCTTGGCTGCCCAAAATTCTGGGATTGCAGGCATGAACCCAGGCACCCAGCCAGACTATAGTAATTTCATAATCACAGAAATAACCCAAAACCTACTGACCCGCTATGTGGTTGAAGTGCAGCTTAAAAGGCATTCTCACAGATTTTGAATAATCCACTTAGTATTCATTCAAAGCATAAAGAAAGAACCAGACAGAATTTTATTACAGTTCCTCATGGGCTGAGAGTTGGTCTGAGTAGAACCATGCTCCAATTTGATAACACATCCATAATCTATGCAAACACACATGTGTTTTTGAAACTTCACGGAATTTTAAATTTAGTCAATGTTCCTTCACCTAAGATTGTATTAATAGAGTAGTATTTTTGATAATAGACAACAGCTATAAAAAGCAGGTCTCCCCACTTTCAGTGTCCATCTACAGCTCTTGGGCGTGTTGTAAGGGGGCAAAGCCGGCACGTGGCAGGAAGCCCCCTTGGAGGGTGCCCAGAGCCTCTCTGTCCCCACCAGCCTGAGCTCATTACCCCAACTTTACCTTCATCTTCCGAGACATCCAGGATCTCATCAACTGTCTCAGGGAAACTCATCCGATGCTTATCACTGACTAACTAAAATGAGAAAAAGCAGATAATTCAACCCAAACTAGAGCCGCACACATTTTTTACCAGCCCAGCGGTTCCCTGGTCACGCCTGTGGGGTGTGCCCCAAACGCAGAAAAACGGACGGAGGAGGTGCTCAGCCTAGAAGCTGCCGGGCAGGAACCACTGAGATGGGACCCGGGAAAACTGGCTTCCCATCATCTCCCCAAACCCCATCCACTCCACTGCTGCTCGGAATGCTGGTCCTGCCCCGAGTCCTCAGGCCGCTAGGTGGCAGCACAGCCCCGCTGGAAGGAGGACAAGTTCCCACCCGTTGGGCGCTGCGCCTCCGACCGGCGTCCTGGAGCCCCAGAACGCACCCCACTTCCAGAGTAACCCCGGGCACGCCTCTGCGCCAGGCTGAGTGTGTCCGGGGTGGGTGCGGGGGAGAGGCAGACATACCACGAAACTGGTTTCATCCGTGACGACCTTGAGCACGTCGGTGACAGAAATGTAGCCCAAGCGCTTGGCTATGGCCAGAGGTGTGGTTCCATCCTGGGAAAAGAGCAGCCCGGGTGCAGTCAGAGGATGGAGTCTAGCAGGCGGGGCTGGCCCCTTAGACACAGATCGAGTTCACCTTCTAGTTGTTCAGGAGAACCTGAGTGGACAGATGTCACCGTGGGGCCCAGAACGAGATCCCTGCACGTGTGTGTGCCTAGATGTGTGTTAGCAGCAGCACCCAGAGATGGGTGTGGGAGGAGGGAGGGCAGGGGTGCTTTTGATCTGCAGTGTCAAGTGTGGGGCCTTGCAACCCAGCAGGGGAAATCTCCCAAGGAGAAGTCAGGCTCTGCCAAGTGGGTGCCCACCGGGAAGGAGGTCAGGAAGTTAGCAGATACAGTTTTAGGAAGATGAGGACAGAGGGAGGCTGCTTGCTGCTCCCAAAGTCTGTTCTTGGGTGTCAGTGATGGGGTATTAAAGTAGTTGAATTAATCCATATACTTCAATGAACCCTAATCAGAATACTCAGAAATCACAAATCACCAGAAACACAGCAAGGGCATACTTTCTACTTTGATTCGAAGAGAAAGAGCTACGTGATCATAAATGGATACTGAGGCTTGATTTTTCTTTTGACTTCACTACTTCTAGGATGTGCCTTGGGCTCCGTTCAGATTCAAGCCCAGCTGCAGCTGCAATTTCTGCAACCCCATCTACACTCAAGGATCCACTTTTGTGTGTGTGTGTGAGACAGAGTCTCACTCTGTCACCCAGGCTGGAGTACAGTGGCGCAATCTAGGCTCACTGTAACTTCTGCCTCCTGGACTCAAGTGGTTCTTGTGCCTCAGCTTCCCGAGTAACTGGGACTACAGGTGCCTGTCACCTCACCTCAGCTAATTTTTTTTTTATATTTTTAGTAGAGACACTCGCCCTGGAGTGTTGGCCAGGCTGGTCTCTAACTCCTGACCTCAAGTGATCCACCTGCCTTGGCCTCCCAAAGTGCTGGGATTACAGGTGTGAGCCACCGCACCCAGCCAAGGGGGTCCACATTATTTCAGAGATAGAAGCAAACACGGAGATAATTTCATAGAACCTCCGCATGGTCAGATGAGAAAGCTCATAGTGAACAATTTTGCTGATGTCACTAAAGATAACCTCGAGCCCTGAAAGATCAGGAACCACCCAGGACATTGAACTATGTTCACTTGCACCATATTGAAAACAGTTTCACATATTTTAGAATGGGTTTCAACAAATATTTATATATATGGTATATATGTGTGTATGTGCATATATATATGTATATGTCTCTGTGTGTGTGTGTGTGTGTGTATATATATATAAAAAGACACAAGGTCTTGCTCTGTCTTCCAGGCTGGCTTTCAAGTGGGCAACTGGAAAATGGACACTGAACTGCAGTGGCGCAATCACAACTCCCTGCAGCCTCGACTTCCTGGACTCAGGCTATCCTCCCACTTCAGCCTCCCAGTTAGCTGGGACTACAGCTAATATGTGTCACCACATCCACATAATTAAAAAAATTATTTTGTAGATTCAGGCACTCACTGTGTTGCCCAGACTGGTCCTGAACTCCTGCCCTCAAGCAATCCTCCCTCCTTAGCCTCCCAAAGTGCTGTGATTACAGGCGTGAGCCACTGCACTCGCACTCAAGAAGGATATTTTAATAAACATAAAAGAGGAGGGAAAATGGTGCTTAAAAGGAAAACGATGAATTCACCAGAAAGAGGAACTGATCACAGTGCCCCATCCCCAGGGTATCCAAGGTAGCTATGGCCTTAGGGTCTTGCGGCCCCGTCCAGGCCCCAGACATGTGCATTAACCTCTATGGTTAGCGGAGGTCACCCAGGGCTGCTGCCACGGGGAGCAGTTTTCTAAACTCAGGAGAGAGAGTGTACTCACCGAGCTGACCTCGTTTGGGGAAGCACCGTTTTTCAGAAGCAGAGTCACGACGTCTGTGTGTCCCTGCTGGGCTGCCTGGTGCAGGGGGCTGTATCCTAGCTGCAAAGCAAGCAGACATTTTGGCAGGGTTAGCCAACCATTAGACAGAGACCTGCCTACACATGATAGTGCCTGTCCGTCTTCGAAGTGGGACATTAATAAAATGCATTTTCCCCCTTTCTTCCTTCAGTGTCCACGGTCAACTGTGGTGGAACCCCTAGTGGCCCAGAGCAGCAGCTCTGGCCGCACCCTGATGTGGCATGGAGAAGGGTCAGCACAGGAGTAGGGGCTAGGGCATCCCTGTACCTTGGTCTTGGCGTTTACATCTGCCTGGTGCTGCAGCAGAAACTTCACCAGCTTGATGTTTCCGTAGTGACTGGCCACATGGAGGGGAGTATAGCCCATCTGAAAAGCAGATGAGAAGGAGTGACCAGAGCTCTTCTGAGCTGGGCATCACATGAAATCCTTCCCAAAGCAGCCGATTCAAAGAAAAAATGGACAGGGAGCCCCTTGAAGGCTGACACTGACAAGCTGAATGGCTGCTGCTGGGCAGAGACCACCAGGCTGAGATGCTTGTGGGAGACCCAAGGGGAGATGTCAACCTGGCAACTGGAAAATGGACACTGAACCGCAAGAAGAGGGCTATGCTGGGGTCGTCAGTGCATGGGAGATCTGAGAGCTTTGGAGGTGAGTGAGGTCCCCCAGGATAAAGTGGAGGGTGAAAAGTGGGGCTGAGGGAGCGAGGCCGAGGCAGGAGAGAGGGAGAGGGAAACCTGGAGAGAGCAGCGTCACAGAATCCCAGGGGGCTATTTCAAGAGGAAGAAATAGCCTTCAGGCCTGGGAATGGCGCTGAGATGAGGGCAGATGGGGATGTGAGGTCATGTTCACTCCAAGGACAACAGGCTTATTTCCATTAGAAAGCTGAAATCCCATTGAAAAACCCCCAAGGCCGGGCACGGTGGCTCAAGCCTGTAATCCCAGCACTTTGGGAGGCCGAGACGGGCAGATCACGAGGTCAGGAGATCGAGACCATCCTGGCGAACACGGTGAAACCCCGTCTCTACTAAAAAATACAAAAAACTAGCCGGGCGAGGCGGCGGGCGCCTGTAGTCCCAGCTACTCGGGAGGCTGAGGCAGGAGAATGGCGTAAACCCGGGGGGCGGAGCTTGCAGTGAGCTGAGATCCAGCCACTGCACTCCAGCCCGGGCGACAGAGCCAGACCCCGTCTCAAAAAAAAAAAAAAAAAAAGAAAAACCCCCAAAAGGCTGTCCAAGTGACTTAGTTGTGGCGTGATGGAATTTACGGGAACTGATCATTGCTTATTGAAATGCATGGGCTTGGGACATTTGCTCATGTGAGTCTGGGCTGTTCAAGGAGTCTGTGCTGCTGAATTTTGTGGTAATGCTTCCTGTGGGCAGGCAGGCCAAGGCCCTCTGAGCTCCTTGGTCCCAAGTGTCCCGGGGAGCTGGTGCCAGATTCCAGAGACCACCCAAGCGCAGGTCCTTCCCTGCATCCCAAAGGTGACTTTGGGATCCTCAAGGCCATTCTAACCCACAGGACAGGGTCTTTTGGTGCAGGACCCCAAAAGACTAAACAGGGCCTGCAAGTGAAGCCTCAAAGATCCAGAACATTCTTAGATTCTAAGCAGGTTCCTGTGGAAGCTGCAGGCAGTTGGAGACAAAACACAGTTTCCAGACTTTTCTCAGGGTGACTTCAGCATAACATTGTTGCTGGCATTTCTGTGCTACTCTGGAAGGGGCAGGAGTTCCTGGTACTGTCACTGTCCCTTCCTTTTAATATGGTTCCCTTGTGGGGAAAAGAAACAAAATGTGGCTTCTTCCATGAAGCCCGCCTCCTCGCACCGACTGAAAACACCATCTCTGCCCTCTGTGCGCCCAGCTCCTCTCTTAAGAGTAAATATCAGATTACGCTCTTCCTTCCTGTCCCTAGCGATCACCTCCACACCAAACTGCAGACGCCTTGATGCCAGATTCCACTCACATAGCTCCTTGCACACATCAGAGGTTCAGAGAAAGTTGAACTGAATTTAACCAAGTGCTGGAAGAAAAGGAGCTAAGCTTTTGTGTGAATCTGGGGAAACCTGACATTTTGACATGCTGACTACTCATATTAGACAGGTCTTAGAGTCATGATTAAACATTCGTCCCACTTTCTCGCTGCAGAGGCTCAAAGGTCTAGCAAACTTTAAAAATCCCCCATGGGAAAGTAAGATAATTAGGAGTAGCGTTTTCAAACTCCACTGCCCGCTCTAGGAAGTGGCAGGGAAGAATGTTCCACTGGGTCTTCGGTGTTTCAAAGCCCCGTGGAAGATTCAGTTCTGAAGTGTGAGCAAGCAGTCCACACAGACTGAAGTTCCAGCTGCCTGCCTTACCCGGGTGGTGGCATCCACCATGACGCCGTGTTTGATCAGCACGTCCGCCACTGGAACGTGGCCTTCTTGTGCTACCAGATGGAGAGGAGTGAGTCCACTCTGCAAAGAAAAAGATGTTCATTACCTTCTAGCAAGTAAAGAATTCCAGGCCACAAGGAAAGAGCTCTGACGTCTGGGAGCTGAAGGTGACTTTGCAGTCACCAACTAGTTATTTGGCTCCAGGCAAAGCTCTTCTTGTTCTGGGCCCCAATGTCCTTATCTAAAAAGTAAGGTGGTTACACTAGACCAGGGGTTGGCAACTTTTTCTGTTAAGGGCCAGATGATCAATATTTTTGGCCATGTCTCTGTATGACTAACATTTAAATGAATGGGCATGGCTGTGTTCCAATAAAACTTTATTTACACAAACAAGTGGTGGCCCAGATTTGGCCCACGGGCCCATAGTTTCCTGACTTCTGATCTAGATGAACTTTATGGCACTTTCCCAGTGTTGGTGCTTTATGGACTTCCCAATAAAGAATGCCCTATTTCCACGGTGAATTTCAGAGCCCTGTAGCCTTGGTTTCCTAATCTAGACAATAGGGGTTATCATGGATCCATCTCAGGGGCAAGGGGAGGAGTGCTGGAGAAAGCACAGGTGAAGCACATTGAGAGGCACACAGTGCTGTTTAAATGAAGCACACTGGCTGGGTGCGGCAGCACATGCCTGTCATCCCAGCACTTTGGAAGGCCAAGGTGGGTGGATCACCTGAGGTCAGGAGTTCGAGACCAGCCTGGCCAACATGGTTAGACCCCCATCTTTACTAAAAATACAAAAATAAGCAGCACATGGTGGCTCATGCCTGTAATCCCAGCTGCTTGGGTGGCTGAGGCAGGAGAATCACTTGAACCTGGGAGGCAGAGGTTGCAGTGAGCGGAGATCACACCACTGCACTCCAGAATGGGTGACAGAGCAAGACTCCATCTTAAATAAATAAATAAATAAAGTACCATACTGTTATCACTGCGCAGCCAGTGCTGGCATGGTCAAGAGGGCAAAGCATCCCACCAGGAGTGAACGGACCATATTCTTGCACGTGGCATCACAGCTTCCTCAGGAAGGCAGTAAGGTATCAGAGATGTTGTTTGACGTGTGGGCACCCACAGGAAAATGTCAGAAAAGTCTTCTCTCCCCTGGACTTTGCCTCAATACCCTTTGCTAACGTGGGACCAACAAAGCTGGATTTCTCTGCAGGCACAGACCATGTCCCCTCTACGGGACTCCACTTGCCCTCCTCTGCCTTCTGCACATCCCACAGGCTGACCAGAGGCTTGTGGGTAGTCATGACACCCCACCACACGCCACTGTGGCCAGAACTGGCGGGCCTGTCCTGCAGGCAGACCGGGGATGGCTCAAATGAGAACAGTCCTCAGTTGAGGAGTGACCGTGTCAGCCTCTCAGGCAGGCGCTCTGCCTCATTCTTGAGCTAACACCAATAATCTGCCTCGTGAGGGCGGCGTGTGGATGACAGAGTGGGTTACCAGTCACCTTACTGTGTCCTGTCAAAGCTCCCATTAAGTGGGGCAGTGAAGGAACCCAGAATGCCATGAGATATAATGAATATAATGGTCCTACCAGAACGGTTCCCTCATTGGGGGTCAACTGTTCAAATTTGTACAAAATGTGCCAGATTTTGTACAAAATCTACAGGTTTTTAAGAAATCTTAAGTTGTCCTGAAAATGCTTGCCTTTCTGAGTATTTGCTATGTGAATTTATCATCGAAGAAGTGGTTGTTCACATTGCGTGGTTCCACTTACATGAAATGTCCAGAACAGACAAATTCCTAGAGACTGAAAGATTGGCGGTTGCAAGGGCCCGGGGGCTCTGGGGGAAGTGGGAAGTGACTGCTAACAGGTACGGGGTTCCCTTTGCGGGTGATGAAAGTGTTCTAGAGTTAGATCATAGGCTGCTGAATTCTGTAAAAATACTAAAAAACATTGAATTGTAGTGTTTGAAAGGGTGCCTTCTAGGAGAATTATATTTCGATAAAACTGTTATTTAAAAAAGAAGTGATTTTTAGTCTTTTTTTGGGTCACACATTCCTTTGAGAAGCTGAGAAACACTGAACACTTCACCCAGAAAACTGCTCACACACCCTTCCTCCCCAGATGTGTGCGCAGTTTTAGAAGGCTTTATCCTCACATACCTATTGTCGCTGGAGTAAGAACTCCTAGTGTATAGGTCAGTAGTTTTAAAACATCTTTCCCCACAGAACATAGAATATTTAGTCCCAAATGATAGAATGTACTTCTGAAGGTAGGCACTGGCCTATATTTGGGAAAGTGTATTATGGATTTTAATATTGATCTTTCTGCAGATCCTTAAGTCAATCTGTTTAGAAAGATCAGCAAAGGCTTTGGCATCAGAAAGGCTCAGAATCCTGCCATCTTGGGAATAAGCAACCTTTCTGTTTATTCATTTATAAAATGAAGGTGAAATGTACACAGGGCTGTTCCAAGGTTTACACACACACAGCCCTAACTCAGAACCTGGACACACATAGATACTTAATATGCAGACACCACACGTTGTTAGCCAGCACTCCAGGGCAGATCCAAAGACTCCATGTCTACCTTGTTCCCCAGGTTGCCATTGGCTTGTTTCGAGAGCAGCAGAGCCACCATCTCTGCGTGGCCCTCCTGGGCGGCCAGGTGAAGGGGCGTCACACCTTGCACCGACTCGGCGTTTGCTGAGCCCCCATACTGCAGCAGACTGCGGGCCACCTCCACCTGGTTCTGCTTGGCAGCGATGTGCAAAGGGGTGTAGCCATTCTGAAACAGAAGAAGCCACCCAGGGCCTGGTTACAGGAATGCTGAGCTGACAATATCAACACATGAGCAGGGGCTGAGTCTGGTTCTTGGCCGGCTGGACACCCAATGAGCAGGGCTGGCTTCACCCAGGAGCAATTTAGGTAAACAAACAAACAAACAAACAAAATCCATTTGATTTGGAGCCAGCGCCTCAGGCTTGCAGAGCCTCTGTATGTCCACCTTTTTTCACCATGTGTTTTCTGTTATGCTCTGACAAACTGCTGGACAGGAGGAGAACAACTGGAAGGCCAGGTAAGGAAATGAAAGGTTCTCATTTCTTCCTTCCTGCAATAAGAGCCAAAAACCCCAAATATTTCATAAAGAAGAAGAAACAACAGCCCCTTTTTTTCCCAGTGCAGCTGGGCCAAGTGCTGCCCTCTGGGCCTTGCCGGCATTAGGCAGGGTGGTTTAAGGGCATGCACCTGGCAAGGGACTTGAGGATGTGGGACAGTCCTCACTCCACTGTTAACTATCTGTGTGACCCAGGGCAAGATATTCCATGACCTAGACTTCCTTCTGTATCTTTTAAGTCATTAAAAGTGGATAATAGCGTCTTTTTCATTTCTCAAAGTTGTTAGGTAGACCAAACATGATACTATATGTGAAGGTATGTTCCAAAATTAAGATGTAAAAAGTTGGCAGGGCACAGTGGCTCATGCCTGTATTCCCAACACTTTGGGAGGCTGAGGTGTGAGGATCACTTGAGGCCAGGAGTTTGAGACCAGCCTGGGCAACATAGCTAGACCCTATCTCTACAAAAAAATTAAAAAATTAACTGGGCATGGTGATGCATGCCTATAGCTACTCAGGAGGCTGAGGTGGGAGGATGGCTTCAGCTAAGGAGTTGGAGGTTGCAGTGAGCTCTGATCGTACCACTGCACTATGGCCTGCAGCAGAGTAAGACCTTGTCTCTACACATGAAAGTTGTAAAAAGTAATGCACCTGTGTGTCATGGTTTTGTAGTGCACTGGTTTGCAAGACATTATAATTGCATAATGAGATGAAGGAGCTTGCCTCAAAAGTAAATCAATGATGTCACTGTGCACTGTTTATTCAGCCAATTTTTGTTTTTATTATTATCATTGATAGCAAGACTGTCTTAATGAAGGAAGCAGTGCATGGGTGTACACTCTGGAGCACACTCCTTATCTCCCTGCAGGCAAGAGACGGTTCCCAGGTGGGCGCCTTTGCTCATCACTGCCGAAAACCACTTTTACCTGCGTTATCTTTTTTGTGCTTCATTAAAACCACATAAGGTCACTAGGGCAGGCATTTTTATTATTATCCCATTGTGTGGAGAAAGAGGCCAATTCTCTGTGAGGTTAAGCGCCTTATCTAATGTCACATAGTAAGCAGAACAACAGATAACCCAGCCCTGACCTTCTGATTGTACAGCCCAGGTAATTCCAGCTAGAACAGTGGTTCTCAAACGCTGACGTGTACACAATCCCTTGGGACCTTGTTAAAATGCAGTGTCTGATTCAGAGGCACTAGGGGGGGCCCAAGATTGTGCATTTCTAGCAAGCTCCCAGGTGATGCTGACAATGCTGGTCCAGGGACCACACTTTCAGTAGCAAGGCCCTAGGGCACTCAGGGTTAAGGGCAATGCCAGGCTGGAGGACGTCCTGGACATGTGCCCACCCAGGCCCATAGCAGATGGCTGCCCAATGTGGGATCTGTCTCAGGGCACGAGATTTCCCCACCTCGGCCAGCATTCCTCTGGCTGAGGACTGAGTTCTCCCTGCCAGCCACTCTCTTACTGTGGAAACTAACATTTCTGATTCTGCCAGGATCACTGGTCAGGAAGAGGAAAGGGAAAGAAAGGTGCCGGCCAAGGCCGTCAAAGCCCTAGGTACAGAGAAAGCTCAGCAAAGTGGGTCCATAGGCGGCTTTTGTGGTGAAATGAAAAGTTGTGACTTACCCAAGGAATTGAATTAAATTGAAAAATCATTCTTTTTGAAGAATGACGAGTGATCATCCTTTCTAGTATTCTTCCTTTTTAATTTGATTATGTTATGAGAAAATATTAAATTGTTCTTTGTAGGTTGTGTTCACGTAACAAGATCGGCATTTGGATTATAATAAGTTTAATTAAACAGCATGATTTTTGCACTGTATTAAAAGAGAGCAAAGGAATGGGGTGCGATACCACAGATCCAGCCTGAGATGCAGGGTCGGCTCAAAATGGAGCTAAGCCTCCCCACAACGAGACACAGAGCACCAGTCAGCGCCGGCCCAGAGAAGCCTTTCACTATGGAAACGAAAAATAAAACCCTAAGCCCTCAAACAGTCCTCAGTTGGGCCAAAGAGATCCCAGAAAAACCTTAAAAACTGAATTCCCAGCCATGAAGGAAGGGAGGTTGGACACGCCCTGCTATACCCACTCCCTTTCGCAGTTTAGGCACAACTGACCAACATTCATGTTAAAAGAGATCATAAGACTAACTAAAGGGACTCTTTGTGACAAGACACCAAATTATCAACAGGACCCAAGGCCACAATAGGCAAGGGCTGAGTCACACACCCCCTAGAGGTCACTCGGCCCAGGACACTGGTGAACAGACCCTTCTCTCAACTTAATTCTTTTCTGCTGATTCCAAACTTTTAGATAAAGCTTTACTCCTTTAACCAACTGCAAATTAAAGAATCTCTGAATCTGCCTATAACCTCTGGGCCCCTGTTTCTAGGTATTTTTGTTAATATATACCTTCCATGTATTGATTTATGTTTTTACCTATAACTCCTGCCTCCCTAAATGTATAAAACCAAACTGTAACCCGCCCCAGACAAGCTTTCTCAGGACCTCTTGATACTGTGTTGCCCAGGGCCATGGTTATCACATCCGCTCAGAATAAACCTCAGAAATACTTTATGGAGTCTGGTTTTTCCATTAATAACTACATGAAAGCAATGATTACTAGGCTTTTTTTTTTTTTGAGACAGAGTGTCACTCTGTTGCCCAGTCTGGAGTGTAGTGGTGAGATCTTGGCTCACTGCAATCTCTGCCTCCCAGGTTCAAATGATTCTCCTGTCTCAGCCTCCCAAGTAGCTGGGATTAGAGGTGCATGCTGCCATGCTCAGCTAATTTTTGTATTTTTAGTAGAGGCGGGGTTTCACCATGTTGGCCAGGATGGTCTTGAACTCCTGACCTCAAGCGATCCGCCTGCCTCGGCCTCCCAAAGTGCTGGGATTACAGGCTTGGGCCACTGTTCCTGGCCCTATTAGGCCATCTTTTAATGTACAAAGGACCATCACTTGAGCAATCTGCAGTGTGTTCATGGATGTATCCTCAGGAATCCCAAGCTACCTGGGAAGCAGTGATGTCCACACTGGCAAGGCCAGCCCCCTGTCCTGCCCAAGAGTAGGCCTGCCCTGGACATGGCTCAGGCTGCCAGGTAAACCTCTGGTTAAAATTGAGATACAAGTGCCACTGTCACTCTCAGAACACGGAGTGTTCACAGAACAGAGCTTCCCCTAAACCAGGACTGAAAGGAACGAATGAACTTCTGCAGGTGACAAGGACAAGGACAACTAGGCTGGAAAGTCATGGAGAGGGGAGGGAGGAATGTGCGCCCGCAAAAGGCTCTTCTTTCCCAAGGAAATGAGCTCATCCTAAGGAATGCATACGGAGGGAGCTCTGCCCAAATGTTCAAACATTAGCATCAAAATTAGAAAGGGGAGGGTTTGGTTTGGGTGCAGAGAGATTTGCATGTGAAATTCTACAAAATTGCCAGACTACTTTGGAAACTATTTTTTGCCATGGAAACAAAGCCCATCTGTACAGGGTTTGTGCTTGGATTTAGTTCTCTTTAAATATAATGAACCTGGCTCCCTTTCCTTTTATATAAGTAGGGGAGTGAGGAGGAGGAGGGGAGTCCAGGTTTTTATTTTTAGAGGCAGGAGTAAGTCGACATCGCAGCAGGGCCGTGTGCTTCCTCTGCACAGCGACGTGGGGCTCGCTGCAGCAGTAGCGAGGACAGGAGGAGACAGAGCTGTCGGGAGCCAGCGTCTGCAGAAGAGCGATGCTGCAAGATGGGGACACGCGTCTGTCCAGGGAGGGAGAATGCGCCGCACCGACACTGAGGCTCCCCGCCTGGGCTGCGGCGGCCCTAAGCCAGCAGGTGTTGGCTGGAGTCATGCGGGGTCCCACCCTTAGGCTCCTTCTCTGTGGCACTTGGACACCTGCCACATGACGGATCACCGGGGTTTGCTCTCCCATAGATTATCCCGTTTCCCGTGCGCCTGGCTGCCCCACAGAGTGCAGGGACTGTGTGTGGCTTTTGTCTTCCTGGCCCCGCTCCCTCTCCTCTCCCCTTCTCCCCGCTGGCCACCAGTCCCGTGGCACCTATCCCTACACAGCCTTGTCTTCCCACAGCAGGCAGCTTGTTCCCAAAAATGATCCTTCCAGCTTCATCCTTGTACTACCCAATCCCGTGGGGTCTTCCAGAAGCTACCCATCTGCTCCCTCCTCTGATTCCCTCAAGGGTCACGGAACCTGCTGCTCTGAGCAGCTCGCCTCTGAAGCTGGTGTGAGGCCGGGCCAACATGTCTCATATTCAGGTAAGCCTCTCTACAAAAATGCCACCATCGAAAAGTCTGATCTCAGAGAGAAATGAATTTGGAGGTGATCATTCTCATTTTAAAGAGATCCCTTGCTTCCAGGTTCCAGCAAGCTCACCAGCAGCCCTGAGGATTTCTCAAAGTACGGTCGCTGTGGCCCCAGCCCCAGAACCACGCAGAGAGTAGGTTAAAAATGAGGCTTCCAGGCCACACTGCACAGTTCCACAGAGTCGGAATCTGCTAGAACCAGGCTCACCACTCCCCAGGGATTTTTATCCACACCGATCTCTGACAGTCAGTTTACAAAACCCAGCTGACATGCAACTGCTTGGGGACACATTTGCTGTATAAAACAAGTTCTGCCTCTGCGAGGTAAGCCCTGGCTGGGAATTGTTACCCACTTCCCATCCCACTCCTGGACCCTGAATAGCACGATTACAGGACAGGTAACATGTGTGAAAGTGAGGCATGATTTCTGAGGTAAAAATAGCTACAGAACGCAAAACGCCTGGGCTGCTGCGGAAACCCCCCTCCCTGAGGGACTGGAAGGTAGCAGGTGACCTGCTCTCCGGGGGCAGCTGGGGAGAGGCGCCAGTCTTACCCAGGCGGGGCTGTGCGGGGAGCCACCCCGGGGAAGCAGCAGCTTGACGATGTCCAGGTTGTTGTGATGGACGGCCACGTGCAGGGGGGTCAGGCCATTCTGCAGAGGACAAAGACAAAAGAGACCGGATGTCACTCCCACGGACTTTCTCCCAGGGCTCCCTTTAGGCATGGCAGCACCTATTTTACACAGTAAAATCCTGTTTAAAATCCTTCCCAGGCCAGTCTTAACTTGGAGTCACGACAGAATGTCGGGACAGGACCCAGAGCCCTGTGGGAACCAGAGGGGACGTGGGCAGTGAGGTCAGCACATTCGCCCAGAGAAGGCCGTCGAGTCTTTCCAAACGGTTAAGGCCGTTGACAGAAAGGCCAGTCTTTCCAAAGGGCATTCTTTCTCGATGCTACCCATGGAAACATGAACAGGCCGGGTGCAGTGGCTCGCACCTGTAATCCCAGAGCTACGGGAGGCTGAAGAGGGAAGATCACCCGAGCCCAGGGTTTGAGACTAGCCTGGGCAACATAGTGAGACCCTGTCTCTATAATTTTTTTTTTTTTTAAGTTAGCGCCGGGCATGGTGGCACCTGCTTGTAGTCCCAGCTACTCAGGTGGCTGACACCCAAAGATGGTTTGAGCCCAGGAGTCGAAATTGTAGTGAGCCATAATGGCACCACTGCACTCCAGCCTGGGCAACAGAGACAGACCCCATCTCAAAAAAAAAAAAAGAAAAGAAAAGAAAAGAAAAAAAAGGATGGACAACATAGGCAAGAGATGGAATCTGCAAGAGCTGAATTCCATCCTCTGTTCTTGCCTCTAACCTGAGAGCTGCAGGGGAGGGCGGGGTTCAAACTCACTTTTCCAGCAGCATTCGGGTGTGCGTCCCGCTCCAGCAGCAGCTCTGCCACCCGCACCTTCCCGTACTTGGCCGCCACGTGCAGAGGGGTAAATCCTTTCTGAGGAGAAACACAGGCCGTCAGGACATCGGGGCCCCAGGGCTCTCCTCTCTGAAGAAAGGGCAAAGGAGGCTGCCCCCTTCCGCTGGCATGGAGATGCCAATAAAAGCAAAAGGCACAGCCATTTTTGAGCCCTCCAGGAGGCTGAAGACCTGAGGAGTGGGCAGGCATCCCTGCACTTGCTGTACACACTCCTCTGGCGAGAGGGTCTCGACCACCTCGCAGTGGTAGTTGATTGCTGGCTAGCTGAGGGCAGGGTATGAGTCTTAATCCTTCTCATATCCCCAGAACCCGTCTGTGACTTGCCCAAAGCAGGTTTCGACTAATAATTGTGGCATGATAAATGGACGAAGGCTGGCTGGGTGTGTGAGAAGCTGTGGTTGACCTCCCGTTTTGGGGAAGGATGGAGACACATCGGGCTTGCAGGTGGCAGGCAGCCCCGAGTGTGATGACCCTTCCAGTTGCTTGCAACATCACTGAGGTGACAAAGAGAACCAGGCACGAATTCCCCTCCAAGCCCCAGGCCTGGCTGAGTGAGCCTGTTGCTTCCTTAGACCAAGAGGAGGGAGGTTGTACCTTGGTCATGCAGGCCTGGGATGCTTCCTTTTCCAGAAGGGCCAGGACTGTTTCCACGTGGCCCTCACGAGCTGCGATGTGCAGGGGCGTGTGCCCAGCAGTGGTGGCCAGGTTGGGGTTGGCATTGTTTTCCAGCAGGAGCTTCACCATGTTTGTGTGGCCGATGCGAGCTGCACAGTGAAGTGGGGTCTGGTCATCCTGGACCCCGAAGCGAAAGCAAAGAAGAAGAAATGCTGATGTTACCAAATCCAACTTTTCATCTTACAGAGAAGCAAGGCAGGACCCAGAGAGGGCAAGTAACCTTCTCAAGGTCACACAGCTAAGAAGATGAAGAGTCAGGGTTTGAATCAAATCTCTGAGTTACAGGAACCAATATGCTGTATCCTATTGAATCCTTACAACAGCTCTTCAAGTGAGCTGTTATTTCTACCTAATTTCCCAAAGACCCAGCCCTCCCATTTGTAAAATGGGAATAATAACGTCTACTTGCTAGGGCTCATCTGGGATCAAGCAGATAATGCACACGTTTCTGCGTTTGTGCATAAAAGGCACTCAATGCAGGGTGGTTGCTCATCCGTCTCCCACATCCTTTCTGAGAGGATGCGCTTGTCTTTCTGCTTGAACTCTACTTTGATTTTCTCTGTGCTGGGGTCAGGGGAGTCTCAACTGCCGACAGAGAATGAGGACTTTTCCATCCACACCCCCAGCTTCCTGTTTCTGAATGCTGCTGTTGAGCTGCCTGGGCCAGGTCTCATGGGGCCCAGCTGGAGGCATCCCTCGAGGGCCCCAAACACAAATCACAGGCCTGACTCTAAGGAGAACCCATCGTGGCCTGTGGTTAGGAAGCCTGCTGTTGGCCAAGCGAGCAACTGGCAAACTCCACAGCTCTTCTCACTGCCTACTCCTCCAACCCCCGCAAAATGTGCTTACAGCAAGGGGGAATCCTCCAGTTTTAGATCAAGTAATTCTTGCCTGATTTTCACTGGCAATGCTTTCTTCAAAAGGTTGCCCGCCTCCTTACACGGCAACTGTCGTCGTTAGCCCAGGACATACTCAGCCCAACCATGCACCTTGGACTTTCCTTATTTTAAAGAAATGTGGCTCTAATGCAAAACTATCCCTGGTCTTCTCAAACCCCCTGCAAAGCAGAATCAGAGCCCGCGGAGCGGCCTGATCGGGATGAAAAGTGATCCCCAGGCCACAGTACTGCAGCCCTGCCCGGAATGAGGATGGGTTCTCTGCACAGTGCTGGAACTGCTCATATCTGAAACCCTTCCCTTCCTGCCTTCACAACTCACCTTGGCCTTGGCGTTGACTTTGGCTTTGTTCTGGAGTAAATATTTGGCCACTTCCGTGTGCCCAGCTCTGGCTGCCATATGTAGCGGAGTCTCCACTTTCTATAAAATAACAAAATTGTAGAACTGTTCATACATGCCTGCTGTCCAAAACTGCACACACAGAGCTAGGAAGTGCAGCTTCGAGTGGCTTGGTGGGTTTTTGTCCAAGAGGTGGAGTTGCCCCAGCAGGCACTCTTTAGTCTGATGTGTGTGCTTGTGTGCATGCGCATGTATGTATGTATGTGTATGTGTGCACGTGTGCAGGTGCAGGCATGTATGTGAGTGCATGTGTGCATCTGTATATTCTAGGTACACTTAAAAGTAAACCCCAGAGCTAATGAATATTCAAAAATGTAAATGTATTCCCAGTGAACACTTATAGACGTTCCAAAATTATTGTCCAAAACAAAACCTCCAAGGTTTACGGATATGTGAGAAATTTAATCCAGAAAGCGTCAGTACACAGGGATGTCCTCCCCCAGTCTGAAGCATTGGCTATTCTGGGAATTGTAGCTCTGTCCCCAGAGAAGAGGCCTGGGAGCACTGGTGAAAGCTGCCCTCTGAACTCTTGGTCTAGAGGAGCAAGTCCCTTGCCTGCCTGAGGGCTTACCACGTTGGAGACGTTGGGCGATGCCCCCCGCTGCAGGAGGTTCTTCACGATGGGAAGGTGCCCCATGAAGGAGGCCACGTGGAGAGGTGTCAGGCCAGACTGAAACAGACAAGGGCAGGGTGAGATAAGTGGGGAGTCTTTCCGCTCCCCTGAAGAAGAGAGAACCTGACGGCATCTAACGCTTTCACAAATGGTTTTCCAAGAAAATGGAGTTATATGAGGTGGGTTTGCTTCCAAGAAAATGGTTGGAGAAAAAAATTACCGTGGGCAAGTCGTGCCCACTCTTACAACTTGCAAAAATTGTGTCTGATCTTGGAAAGCTCCAAGAGACTTGACTCATGTTCCCTTGTCTTAGTCACCTCTAATTCATTCCTTCTAGCAGTCCAGACTTGCAGACACACACAGCCCTGCAGCCACACAAAGCTACAAAGAGCGACTCTTAGAGAAGGTGGGTCGGGGGAGACCACGGGCCTGCCCCCAGGCTCCTCTGCAGTCTCTCCTACCTCGGTGACCGCGTCAATCGAGGCTCCCGTCTTCAGCAGCAGCTCCATGACACGAACGTGGTTCTTTTTGCAGGCGATGTGTAAGGGGGTAAAGCCATTCTGCAGCCCACACAAAGGAAGACAGACAAGCAGGAGCTTACACACGGGCCCAAGGAACGCCCAGAAGACCACCTCGCTGCTCTAAAAGGCAGCTGCTGCCCAGGCCACCAGCAGATGCCCACAGACCAATCAATGAATTAATGCCAATTGATTAGTCTTACAATGTCAATTAATGCAAATCACGTAAGAGACAGGTGGCTCTCACTTGATGCACTAGATGTGTTCCTGAACATGTTGTTTATAAACCTTTTTAAAAAATTTATTCACATTTTGGATGCACTAAAAGATCCTGCTGTTTAAAGTCCCCTAAGGGTAAATTTACAATAAAGGAGTACTTTTGTGAAGCAAATCATGTTCCCTCTTCCCTGAAACCACTGATCATTTTTAGTGAAATGGATTTCTGCTCTAAAGTGTGATGTACTCTGAATATAAACTCTGAAGGGCAGAAAAGTATGTTTGTTTTTGTCTGTTTTTTCAGTGCTTTACCCACTTAAGGCAGTGGTTCTCAAACGTGGGAGGTGGTGGTGGGGGGTATCATTTGCACCTCACCGCCAAAACATGTGGCGATGTCTGGGGACATTTTTTATTGTCAACTAGGGAAGGAGAGCTATGAGTGCCTAGTAGGTAGAGGCCCGGGATGCTGCTAAACATCCTACAACACACAAGACCACAAATATCGACCCCAAATATCAATAGTCCTGAGGCTGGGAAATCCCAACTCCCCTACAATAGCATGTGGCCTGCGGGCATTGCTCAGTGAAAGCTTTTTTGAGTGAGTGAGTGAGTGAATGAGCCATCCTCTGCCATCCCTGGAGGATATCCTGCCCCTCAGTTCTGCTGCCCTGGAAAGGGGCAGAGAGGAGATGTGGTTACGGGCATGCTTAGTGCAAAGCTACAGTCCTACTGGATCCCCAGACCTCCCTGGGAGCCCCTGTCCTGGGAAGGAGGCAGAGGAACCACAGGAGGGATTTGCTCTGGGCCTGAGCTTCCCTTTACACGAGTGCCATGAGAACTGTAAGCCTCTCTGTGGATGAAGGATGCTCAGCTCTGGCCACCTCACTCATCCCCAAAGCAGCTCAGAAAGCCACGCAGCCCCTAAGGAATCACTCAGCTCCAGGCCTGACTCCACTGGACAGGTGCCCCAAGCCTGTATACCTACCATGCAGGATGCTTCCTGAGTCCGGTTTCCTGGGCCCAAACTCACCCCTGACCTTGGCCTGGTCACCAGGGGCAGGGGTCGATACCTAGCTGGGTGTGCAGTGGAGGGTGCAAGAGGGGTGCACACCAGGCCCCCACCATCCTGTGCTGTCACACCCCACTTCTCAGGCCTCGAATCTGGGGAGCTCTGGGCACCTGCCGCCCTTCCCACAGGTCCAGCCATGCCTCTCTGGTCCTGCCCTGAGCCTGCCCTGACCCTCTGCACCTTCTCCAGCAGCCCCCCACTCACCAGGGCTCTGGAGTTGGGTTTGGCCCCTTTATCCAGAAGGACCTTGGCCACCCTGTGGTGTCCGCAGTGGGCAGCCACGTGGAGCGGGGTCAGGTGGTCCAGGGTGATGTCATCTATCTCTGCGTCGTATTGCAACAGGAGCCGGACACAGTCGAGGTGGTCTCCCTGAGCCGCCATGTGAATTGGGGACAGGCCGTTCTGGGTAAAGAGGAAAACACAAGCAATCACAAAGCCTTCTGGGGACCGAGCATGGAGATTCAGGACGACTCCAACGTCACTCCCTACTTCTTCCCTACACGATGCTTCCACAAGGCTCCGGAGGGAGCTTGGCTCACCCTGGCCTCCACACTTCTGCCAGTCTCTGACCACAGACATTCTCCTTCCCACCTGGCCAAACCTTCAAAGCCATCTCCAGCAGCCCCATCTCTTCCAGAAAACCTTCCCTGACCACCCTAGACTCCAGTGGGCTTTCCTTATCTGCGCCATGCACTTGGACCTTATTCTCATATTTGCCCAATTACATTCATAGTTAACTGTTTAGGGGAGTGTATCTTTTCATCTTTTCTCTTTACTTGTATGCCTCTTAAGATCAGTGACTGGGCCTAATATTTCTTCTTAAATGTCCCCACAGTGCCCAGTAAATTCATGTAATACACATTGTGGTCCTTAAATTATGCAATTTTGAATAAATGAATGAATGAATGATGATAAAATAGAACTTGGATCTAAATCCCTCTGTTCCTTGTCCCTGTCAAATGCAGTTCAGTTAAAGAAAATTCATTAAGGATACTCATTTCTCAAACAGCAATTTGCTGAAAAAACATTAAAGAGAGAGGAGACTCACTCATTCATTCAGACATTAATTCAACACATACTTATCAAGTGATTAATATGCTCCTGGTATGGGTTAAGCTCTGTGGAAACAGAAGAGAACAGACATAACCCCTGGCCCAAGGAAGCTTGTAGACAAACATGGTGGTGTCTTTCAGTGCCCTGAAGTGGGATGAAAAATGATCAAAGCACAGAGATGAGAATCAAACAGATGGCATCCCTGATGAAGGAGGGGCACCAGGAGGGAGGAGGTGAGGCCTAAACTAGGGCTTGAAAGGAGCTGAATGGAAGTTCACCAGGAGGACCAAAGGGGAAGAACATCCTAGTGAAGGGAGCAGCATGGGCAACATCACAGAGGCAGCTACCCTAGGGGAACCCAGGGGCCTCCATGCAGTTCGACAGGCCAGGGCAAAGTGATGGCAAGCATGGAGGCGGTCTGGAGAGGAGCCCGGGGCTGCGCCAAGAAAGGCTAGGAGCTCAGGACTTGGGACTTCAGCTTTTCGAAAGTGGAAATGAGAGGATTTTCATCAAGGAAGACGCAAATCAGGTTCCATGACAGCAGATGTTAGTGTTACAGGCTGAATTAGGTCCCACAAAATTCACATGCTGCAGTCTTAACCCCCAGGACCTCAGAATGTGACCTTGTTTGGAAACAGGGTCTTTGGGGATGTAATGAGCTAAAATGAGGTCATTAGTGTGAGTTCTAATCTATGACTGGCGTCCTTAGAAATAGGCAGATTTGGACACCTGCACAGCAGGAAGATGCCACATGAAGATGAAGGCAGAGGTCAGCATGATGCTTCTATAAGCCAAGGAAACCAAAGATTGTGCTCAAACCACCAGAAGCTCGGGGAGAGACCTGGAAAAGATGCTCCCTCACAGCCTCAGAAGGAACCGACCCTGCCAGGCACTGTAGCTCACCCTTGTAATTCCAGCACTTTGGGAGGCCGAGGTGGGCATATCACTTGAGGCCAGGAGTTTGAGACTAGCCTGGCCAACATGGTGAATCCCCATCTCTACCAAAAATACAAAAATTAGTCAGGTGAGGTGGCATGTACCTGCAAGCCCAGCTACTTGGGAGGCTGAGGCATGAGAATTGATTGAACCTGTGAGGTGGAGGTTGCAGTGAGTGCAGATCACACTGCTGCACTCCAGCCTGGGTGACTGAGCGAGACTTCATCACACACACACACACAAAAAGGCCAGGCACAGTGGCTCATGCCTGTAATCCCAGCACTTTGGGAGGCTGAGGCGGGCGGATCGCCTGAGGTCAGGAGTTCAAGACCAGCCTGGCTAACATGGCGAAACCCTGTCTCTACTAAAAATACAAAAATTTGCCAGGCATGGTGGTGCATATCTGTAATCCTAGCTACTCGGGAGTCTGAGGCACAAGAATTGCTTGAACCCAGGAAGTGGAAGTTGCAGTGAGCCAAGATCATGTCACTGCACTCCAGCCTGGGCGACAGAGAGAGACTCTGTCACAAAAAAAAAAAAAAAGAACCAACCCTGCTGACACCTTGATCTTGACCCTCCAGCCTCTGAAAGTGTGAGACAGTAAGTTTCTGTTGTTTAACCTACTCAATGTGTGGTTCTTTGTTAGAGTGGACCGAGCTAACTCAGTTAGTTACACTTGCATTTCAGAAAGGTTGTACCATAGTTCCCAATGGAAAAGTCACATATTCTCATATTCTCAGAAAATACTTTTCATAAGCATTCCTTTCAGCCCCATTCTAATGATCTGGATAATAAAACAAAATATCTTAACTTCTGGTCATGTATTATGTTTAAATACAGCACTCCTGGAAAAATGTTGGGAATTTCCTGACCTAATAATCTAACTGATAGTAGCAATTCTACTTTCATTTAGCTGAGGAGTTTCACTGTTAGATATACTTTTGAAGACATTATCTCACATGGTCGTCCCAACAATCCTAGGAGAGAGGGCGGGGGCTCTCCAGATGAGGAAACTGAAACACAGAGAGGGCAAGACACATGTTCAGAGTCACACAGCAAATCAGCCAAGGATGGAGGGTTAAATGAGAGACTGCTTTAGTAGAGGACACCCTCATGCAACAGCACACACAGACACAAACAAGAGCCAGTGTGGGGACTATGAATCATGACCCGAATTAATGACAGCTCTACAGAACAGAACATGATAATGTGTCGGGAATAAATCAGCTCTCGCTGTATGGACTGAGTCATCATTTCATGACAGAACTGCTCGTGGGAAACATCCTGGGTAGCCGTGAGTGGGCCTGGCTTCTGCCTTGCTCTGCTCTGACACAGCTCAATTCACGGGGCAGAGGGCCTGGAGCAGGCTCAGGCAGCTCTGTGTGGCTGACGGCTTTCTTCCCTGGAAGACTTAAGTCCTTATGTTAGAATCACGTAACAAGCCTTTTCTCCGGCCTGTAATGGAGCCTGAGAAGAACTGTGTTCTTTTCTTTTTAACTTTGCTTTAGTCTGACCCGGGCTCTGAAGACTTCTCAGAGTACTTAGTGCCTGTCTTTTCTGGAGCTAGGAAGAGAGACATGGGGATTGATCTAGAGCAGTAGTAGGCAAACTATACAACCTGTGGGTCAAATCTGCCCCGCCACCAGTGTTGGTCAATAACGTTTTATTAGAACACGGGCCCTAGTTTGCATATTGCCTATGGCTGCTTTTCTGCTACGTTGGCAGTGTTGAATCACTGCAACAGGGACCATGGCCTGCAAAGCCTAAAATTGTCTAATACCTGGTCCTTTAGATAAAAAGTTTGCCGACCCTGATCTAGTTATGAATTAGAGCTACACTGAGTGCCTCCTATGTGACAGGCCTTGTAATAAATGTCAAAGGTGCTATTCATTTAGTAGTATTAGCATTTCTGTTTTACAGAAATAGGATTTGATGCCAGGTCTGTTGGACCTGGAGCCCTGCCTAAAAAATGCTCCTCACAGGAAGGAAGCACACACCTTGGTTTTGGCTTGGATTGGTGCCCCGTGGTCCAGCAGGATCTCTGAGATTCGCACGTGCCCATTTCGAGCTGCACAGTGGAGAGGTGTCAATTCGTCCTTTAAAAGACAGAGTCAAAAACAGAAAGCCCAAAAGGCAGCTATCAGAGGTCATTGGAGAGAAGACTGCCTATGGCATCGTCCCAGCCCACGCGAGTGCTGACGTTTCCTCAGGCACCAGCTCGACCTCAGCACAGTTTTACTATTGCCTCCCGCTGCACGCGGCACTGCCCAGAATACCGCTGCAGGCAGCTCCAGGAGGCCGCTGGTGCATCCCTAACTAGGTCACCAAGGGCCCGCTGCTCTGGGTGAGGTTCGTGAGGGGGGAACTCCCTCCCCCTGCCTGGCTGCGGAGCCTGCTGGCACCCACCTTGGTCTTGGTTTCTATCTGGGCTCCCCGATCCAGCAGCAGCCGCACCATGATCACGTTGCCCCTGCGGGAGGCGATGTGCAGCGGCGTGATGCCATTCTGAAGGGAGGAAGCAGGACATCAGGGTGTGTCATCCTTCCCTGGAATGCAGCTGCTGTGCACCCGCTCCCCATGTCCCCAGCCCCCAGCCCCCAGTCCTGCAATGGAGCTGTCAGGACATTTCTAGCCTAAGACATTTTAAAACCTGTAAGGACCTGCCAACAGGATGGGTCATCCCACCACACCAGCCAAGCCCATGCCTCCCAGAGTTAACATAACAGACTGCAGGAAAGTCAGTTATTTGGAAATCACTCTCTGCCCTCCAGATTTCCCACTTCTAGGATGGGCAAATGGACTTTAGGGTTTTCTCAAGCAAAGCAGGTAGAAACTGGGGGTGGATGGTCAGAAACCTGCCAGCAAGGAGGCTGAACAGACAGCAGGGCTGTTTGACCCACAGGCACTTCTGCCACTGGGATGAAATCCATGGTGCCAAGGCAGGAGCACCTGCTAGCCCCAAGCTCCCAGACAGTGAGGGCGCACCTGCCCCAGGTTACCTGTGGCGTGAAATTGACGCTGGCTCCCCTGTTGAGGAGTAACTGGGCCACGTTGAGGTTCTCGTAGTGGGCCGCAATGTGCAGGGGCGTGAATCCCGTCTAGGGCACAACAGAGGGGGAGAAACTTGTCATATGTGATTTACTTCTATCTCAGAGTCAGCCCTGGGATGCCCGAAACTCAGGTGGGGCGACAGGACTTTACAGACAAAGGAGATTTTGATGGGTGGGAACATTTGGCGAGGGGGTCAAGAGAGGCTCTGTGGCACAGTGTATTCAAAAGCTGGGTATCCACCCTGAGCAAACCGACTTATATGCTAACCTCACACTCTGTGGGCCCGTTCGTCAGAGTGATCACCGACAAAGAGATTTTCATTCATGAATGAAAGTGTGATGGGGCCATGGTCTTTTTTTTTTTTTTTCCTCTCCATTTAGACAGGGTCTCACTGTGTCACCCAGGCTGGAGTGCAGTGTGATGTGATCACAGCTCACTTCAGCCTTGACCTCCTGGGCTCAAGCAATCTTCCCACCTCAGCCTCCCCAGTAGCTGGGACTACAGGCGAACAAAATCATGCCCAGCTAATTAAAAAAAAATGTTAAGAGGTGGGGTCTCACTAGGTTGTCCAGGCTGGTCTCCAACTCCTGGGCTCAAACCATCCTCCTGCCTCAGCCTCTGTCCATTGTCATCACTCTCTTCCAGAGCCTCAAGCCAGGCCTAACCCCACCCAGGTGTTTTCCAGACAAAACCCGGTGGATCTGGGGCCGGTGGAAGAGGGGAGGGGCGGAGTGCAGGAGGGGACGGTGAATAACTCCAGCAAATCCATTTCCACTAAAAGAGAACCAGCAGCCTCAGCCTACAGACAGCAGATCAGCAGGGCCTCCGAACACCGGAGAGCATGCCCAGGTGACTGTGCAGAGCTCCGGACCCCCTTTCTCCACACCCCGACTCCTGCACGCCTCCTCCCTCCACTACGGGGCAGCCCGGGAGGAGAGATGAAGGAACACCAGGAAGGCCGCCTTCTGGCGTTCCAGGGTGACTCGCCCTGCCCGCCTGGACACATTTCCAGATGACCTGGAGCAACAGGAACCACCCCCGCTGCCAGGGATTTAGAGCAGGGCTGTCCAGGGGCCCCTCTGCGTCCTGGGGTGGGGACGCTCCCTTAGCACGCTGGGATGAGCGTTCGGCCCCGCACGCTCGGGGCTCCTGCTTGGGAAGTCGCAGGGTGTACTCAGTGCGCCCTGAGCCCGTCGGCATCCGCGGCCCAGGGCTCCTCCCTCCGCCTCGCCCTCACCTTGGAAAGCACGTCCGGGTTGGGGTCATTCTGCAGCAGCACCGCAGCCGTGCGCGTGTCGTCGTTGCGGGCCGCGATGTGCAGGGCCGGGAGGCGCACCTTTCCCTTGGTGCCGTAGTTGATGAGGTGCGCGACGACGTTTTCGTGGCCCTGCTGCAGGGCCACCGCCAGAGGCGTGAACCCGTCCTGGCCAGAGGAGGAAAACGCTTTGCTCTGACTCGTCTGAACCTAGCTGCCCTTCACACAGGACACACCCTTGCCCCTCGGGCTCATGCTCCCAGCGGCGCCAGCCTGAGGGACCTCGCTCCACCAAAGCCCTCTTCATCCACCAAGTTCAGCCTAAATGCCACCTCCTCCCTGAAGCCTTTCCTGCCACCACTTCCTTTCTCTGCAATCTCACAGAACCTGCCAAATTTTTCTTTAGCATTCCTTTAGTTTTCCTTTATAATTTGCTTCCAGTTTGATTTGTTTTAAGAAATTTTGACTGCTCGGATTCTTTGCCTGCTCCCCTTCTCACCCCATCTGCTGGTGCCAGGATAGTGCCTTGACAAAGCAGAACATTATTAACACTGACCAAAGGCCAGAGTCCACACCAGGCCCTGAGAATTCAATTGTGAGCTACTACTACTACTACTACTACTACTACTATTATTATTTTATTTTTGAGACAGGGTCTCGCTCTGTCACTCAGGCTGGAGTGCAGTGGTGCAATCATGGCTCACTGCAGCCTTGACCTCTTGGGCTCAAGTGATCCTCCCACTTCGGCCTCCCAAGTAGCTAGGAATCAGGCACACACCACCACACCCAGCTAATTTTCTTTTTCTGTAGAGATGGGGTCTTGCTGTGTTGCCCAGGCTGGTCTTGAATTCCTAGCCTCAAGTGATCCTTCCACCTCAGCCTCCCAAAGCAGTGGGATTACAGGCATGAGCCACTGTGCTTGGCCATGAGCTACTATTACTAATTCCCTCAGTTGTGGATATACTAAGGGGCACAGGACCCCAGGAACTGATAAAACGGAATGACAACAAAGCATGTCATTGAGCCATCCAAAGTTAAGAGTCAAGAGACTCCTTGGCTCTATCTAGTCCAATTTCATTATTTCGCCAGTGACAAGACTCAGGACCACAGCGAATGAGAATTGTCCAAGGGTGCATGGTGGTTTTGTGGCAAAAGCCTTTCTCATTAAGGCCCAATGCAAACTTGCCAACCATACACACGCATGCTTTGCCTGCCCCTCCAGTCACAGTATTGGCCATAGCGGGAATGACACCCTCAAGTGTGACGTCGTTTCCTTGGTACGTGTCTGGGCCTTCTTCAAGACCCACAACTTTGTCATTATTCCCTTGCAGAACTCGACAGTGCTCAGGATTAGTGCAGCAACCTGAAGGTCATCCGTCACTACATGGATGCGCCCCAAGTCACACACCCAGGAAGGTGTCACTGGGAGACTTCCGGTGGTGACAACATTTTTCCAAGGTACTTACTTCCGTGGCTACGTTCTGGTTAGCTCCATTTTCCAGTAAAAACTTAACCACTTCCAAGTGGTTCTCTTGTGCTGCCATGTACAGGGGTGTAAAACCTTTCTGTAAACCAAGAGAGGACATCATTAGCATCCATCCGCAATGTAAGAAAGGCCGACACCAGCACAACATCCTCTCACCTGGAGGACAACACTCTCTTCATTCCATTTCCTCCCACCTGACCCCTCCTAAGGAAACTCATTGTCACGGTGACTGGCGTCCTGGGATTATTACAAAAGGCCACAGAGGCTGTGCCTCCCCTCGCCACCGTAGGTCAATCTCTTCCGCTCACATACTCCTCATTGATGTCATCAATGCTGCACCCCGTGCCTCATTCCTCCAGTCCTCCATTTCTCTCTCCACCTGGGCCATAACTGGACATATTATTTGGCTTAGGTTCACAACAGTTCAACCCTGTCATGCTTAGGACGTGCGGACTATGCATGAGAAATAATAAAGGATGTCTTCACCACTGCTTGGAGACACGCTCCTGAGAAATCTAGGTCCTGCCCCACAGTGTGTGTGTTAACACAGCTGCCAGTGGATGTACGAGGGAGCAGGAAAGAGGAAGCACGTGTGGAAAGGCAGCACCCTCTAGTACAGAGCAGAAAACCATTACCTGCGACTGGGCATTGACGTTGGCGCCATAGTTGACAAGCTCCCGGACCACCTCGTCCTGCCCAGCCAGGGCGGCAATGTGCAGGGCCGTGTTCCCCTTCTGAAACACACAGGGGAAGGGAACAGAGGCGGTTTCCCACTGGGCCTGCTATGGGACCAGCAAAGGTCTGTGGACAGGTGCTGCTTGAAGGACCCGGGGGCTTTCTTCATGGCCAAAAGGGGTAGAAAGGACACACGTGTGTGCTTGACCCCTCGCACATCCTGAAATCACACTGAAAGTACAGGGAGGAAAATCCTGCCTGTTGTCTATGAAAAACAATGCTGCAAGAGCCATAAAAAAGAAGGAAATCAGGTCTTCTGCAGCAACTCGGATGGAACTAGAGGCCAGTATCTTACATGAAGCAACTCAGAAACAGAAAGTCAAATACTGCATGTTCTCACTCGTAAGTATGAGCTACATAATGTGCACACGTGGACATACAGAGGGTAGAGAGACACTGAAGACTCGGGGGGTGGGAGGTGGGGGCAATGAGAAATTATCTTTTGGATGTGATGCCCACTATTTGGGTGATGGCCACACTAACAGCCCAGGCTTCACCACTACACAATGTATCCATGGAAGAAAGCTGCATTCGTACCCCCTCAATCTATAAAAAGAAAAACATTTAAAAAGAAGACCACCAGCATTGGCTGGTGTAATTGGAGTGGCGCAGGAAGGGGACCGATGACACTGAGAGGTGCGGTTGAAGGAGACTGCAGCCATGTCAAAAGAACTCCTTTATTATTATGATGATTATTATGATTATTATTATTATGTATCCATAATAATTAAAAATCAAAAAATGTTTATAAAAGAAAAATAATACTGAAAGAAAAAAAGAGCCTCCACCAACACACACAACTTCTGAACACCTAATCTGCTGTGTGGGTGCGGTGTCCTGTCCCTAGCAGACGGCACGTCAGTGTCCCTCAGGACACACACTGGAAGGCTTGTCAGCGAGCTGACCCTCCGCGGACCTGCAGCTCCGCTCAGCCTGCAACCCTGCAAGGCAACAAGCCCTCTGAGAGGCCTGGGAGCACTGGGAAAGGAGGCCGGCAGGTCCCTCAGGCCCACACCTTTGACACCATCCCAGGGATACCCACAGACCACAAGCTGCAGTGGAGGGGACAAAGAGATGGTAGGCAGGAGAGTGAGGAAAGTATTGGACAGTAAAGGAAAGGGTAAGATCAACTCTACTATGTATGTAGGGAAGAGAAGAAAAATCAGAAAATAAATGGGGGTTAATAAATGGAATACAATCTGACCAAGAAAAATACAAAGAATATGCGACATACTAGTAGGCAAAATGTAACGAGTAAGGGTTCACCAAATCGGAGAGTAGAAAAAACTGGAGAGAATAAACACTGGAGGAAAACAAGGCATGTAATTGTTTTAAACTTCGTAAAAGATGAGAACCAACAGCAGAGACTGAGAAATAAGGCAGGTTCTGAGAAAGTATGTTTTTGTTTTGTTTTGTTTTTAGAATTGGAGCTGTCACTCTAACACCCAGGCTGGACCGCAGTGGCACCATCATAGCTCACTGCAGCCTCCAACTCCTGGGCTCAAGTGATCCTCCCACCTCAGCCTCCCGTGTAGGTGGGACTAAGGTGTGTGCCACCGTGCCCGGCTAATTTTTAAAATTTTTGCAGAGACGGGCTCTCACTTTGTTGCCCAGGCTGCTCTCCCGTTTCAGCCTCTCAGAGCTCTGGGATTACAGGCGTGGGCCTGAGAACATGAGTTTAACGTTCTCAGGTTTTCTTGTCTGGATTCTTCTTGGATATTTAACAACAATTCACAGACAGGACCAGCAGCCTCCATCTGTTGCCGGGATACCCACAGCCTTCCAGCCAGGCTCCTGCCAGCCCCCGGGGGTCCTGGACCAGAATGTCAGCACTGCCTCTGGGGGTGGACTCCCCTGGGTGTCCTGCACCTGCGCCCCCATTCAGGGAGTTCGGGGGCGGGGGTGGGCAGGCTCCATTCCATGCTTCCGTCAAATAGGGCGGGTGCAGAAAATGGGTCCATGGTCGGACCCATCTGTCCCTGCACTACTTAAGGAGCAGAGATCTCAAACAACCTCGTTTTTAGAGTTTAGACAGTATGTAGTTCTTTTTACTAAACTACATAATCGTTAACTAATCCATTTCAAGAAACTTAAGAACTGACAGGCAGGGACTTCGGACTCTGACCTTGCCCGGTGGCATCTGTCACCTGGAGGAAAAGCTTCCTCACTGAGATGAAAGAGAGCAGCCCGGGGCCCAGCCGTGTGGCCCCCCAGCCGCTGCTGACCCAGCTTTCCTGGGTCAGGGAGGCAGGCCCATGAGGCCGCCCTGGGGGCTGGGAAGCAGCCCAGGTCTATTTCTTGTACTCTGCCTGGTAATTGAAGCATAAAGCCTGGGGCTGGGTACAGCAGCTCACATTCGTAATCCTGGTGCTTTGGGAGGCCAAGGTAGGAGGATTGCTTGAGTCCAGGAGTTCAAGACCAGCCTGGGAAACAGTGAGACCCAGTCTCTGTGTCTTTAAAAAAAAAAAAGGCATAAAACCGGTTTTTTTGTTTGTTTGTTTGTTTGTTTAAAGGCAGGCACTTCCCATTTGTTGCCTCCTGAAGTTGTCTTTTTGATTTCTCCTCAAGTATCCATTGGAGAATAAATGCCAGATATGAAAGTCTGGAAGTTCATTAATAATTTTTCATAGAAGTCCAAAGAGCCTCCATTGAGAGGCTTGGCACCTGCTGTACCAAATGCAGCAGGGCTGCTGGCACCAGAAACTTTTCTAGACACCAGGACGCTGAGCTCCAAGTAGTGTCTTCTGGGCTCCCATGGAAAAGAAGGAGGCATCCTGGGTCCTTTCATTCACTGGTCACACGCTTCCTGGGCATAAGCACACAGGCCTGGGCCAGCATGGAGGCACAGAGGCCACGGAGACATCAAGAGGCTCACGTCAAATGTTTCTTTCCATCTGAGCCTTCCTGCCTGAAGTCCAGCGATATGAGAGCTTTCCTTACCCCACGAGGAGGGGAAGGCCCCCCTGTCTGGGGGAGCTCATCAGTGGTGGAACCCTGGCTATGGATCTTGGTTCAAGCCAGCTGGACCAAGGGCAGCATAAGTGAGGAATAAGAACACAGGGAAAATTCTGGAAGTGGACCTCCTTTCCCCTATCTATACACACACATTATGAGGCTCAAGAAGGCCCCTGGCCTAAGTCATGGGAGTCACAGGAAAGGGGATGTGTGAGCCTCTGTTTCCTCTGCCCCTCCCTCAATATGAAAGAACATTGCCTCAAAGGAGCAGTAAAAATCACTTAGCTGTATTTTGCTCCACAAATACCCAATTTCTCTATTTTCAGGGGCTCACAGAGCTCAGAGCAGGGACGAAGGTTGCATGGGTGCTGGGTGAATGCAAGTGGAAGGGGGAGAGGGACCCCGAGTGAGAGAGCAGGCTTTTCTCCAGTGGAGATGAAAGCTGTCCCCGTTCATTAACAGCTTAGGTGCCGAGCTCCAGTCTTTAAGAGCTGGAGATAGGAGGATGGGGAGAGAATGCATTTGTTTTATGCTTTTAAAATTTCTAAGTACATTTTAGGAATCTAAATTGGTTTTGGCTTTTTACTCTTTTTCTTTTTTTTTTTTTTCATCTTTCTGCTGCCTGGGAGCCCCATCACAGTCCCCAATCTGTTGTGACTCTTCCCCAGCCCACGGTTTCAGTTCCACCTTTTTTTCCCCTCTCTCTCTGGATGGTATTCCAAAGCCACGTTGGCTTAGAAAATTTCTAAAAATAAAAAAGACACACCAAGTGTTCACTTGCAAAATCACAACCTGGGGAGGAGATTCGGAAATAGTCAAAGCACTGAAGCCTCGTGTTTCCGCAGCCCTTGAAGGCACGCCAGGGCAGGCGCCGCTCCGGCACACGCGGGGCAGGTCAGATGGCACGCAGCTCACAGCCAGGTACGTGGGAGTGTGCAGAGAAACTAATCTCATCCTTCATCCACACAAGAAGCAGGGTGGGAACAATCGGAATTTGACATAGAATTTGGGAAAAAAATACCCCATATCCAGTCAGAAAGAGCAATTCGGTTTATTTTACCCAAAAGTGCAATAAGATCTTTTCACATTCAGGAAATGACATGAAAATTACAGAATTTTACCTGAGAGATGATTCTACCTTCATAATATTTTGGTAGTTCACTTCATAACCATAAATTATATCTGTTCTCTACGTATTGTTCTTCTACACTCTCTGCTTGAGAGGCAGCAAACTGTTTGCTGCATGGAACTGAAATTGAGGCTGTGTGTGAGATCACGTGTAATAAATACCAAATGGAAAATAAGAGGCTAGCGGGGAAAGAACTCCAGAAGAAAAACATAGGAAAGGAACAGAGGAGGGAGGAGAAGAGAAAACAAGAACTAGGGAGACAATACTTGAGTTAGCAAATGGAGACGATTTTTTGTTTGTTTTATTTTATTTATTTATTTTTGAGAGGGAGTCTGTCTCTGTCACCCAGGCTGGAGTGCAATGGCGTGATCTCAGCTCACTGCAACCTCCGCCTCCTGGATTCAAGCGATTCTCCTGCCTCAGCCTCCCGAATAGCTGGGATTACAGGCCTGCGCCACCATGCCTGGCTAATTTTTGTATGTTTAGTAGAGATGGGGTTTCGCCACGTTGGCTGGGCTGGTCTCAAACTCCTGACCTCAGGTGATCCTCCCGCCTCGGCCTCCCCAAGTGTTGGGATTACAGGCATAAGCCACTGTGCCCAGCCTGTTTGGTTTTACTTTTAATTGCTGGTTGCATCCTGTTTGATAAATAAGATGCGTGACAGGTAAAAAATGAAACTTATTTTGCAATCTGTAGACGTATCAATTTCATGACTCTGGGATTTCAGAAGTTGAGTCACTGGTGTTTATAATCTACTGAAATTGAGTGAAATACATTACTGTGGATGCCTGACGTCGCCCCATGCCAAACGCCTCCTCGTGAAAGAATGCTGTTCCAGGTCATTAGCGAGGAGAGGAAATCAGTTTGGGGCTGAACAAGGAAGACTTGCTGGAGAAGGAAAAATGAAAGAGATCTGGATTCTTGTCTACAACCCTCAGCAACAACATGGTCACCAGTATTTATTGATTCCTTACTATAGGAATCAATAATCATTAATACATCAGTAATCAATAAATAGATCCAATAAGCAGTAAATACATCCATCCAATAAATACATCCAGGCATTTGATGTATGCCATCTCACTTAATTTTCATACCAACCCTGCAACTAAGCATTATAATCTCCATTTTACAGACAAAGCTGAGGCTTCATAGTGGCCAAGTAACTCGTCCCAGGTCACAGAGTGTGAAGTACGTTGCTGGGATTCAACTCCAGGCACCTGACTGGCGCTTTCAGAGCCCTTGGACACTGAGTTAGAGTCAAGGACCCTGAGAAACCATAGAGCAACCAGGAAAGGGCTGTAGTTTTAGATATGTAACCTAGTGATGAGGATAAAGGCCCACTGAATCTTTCTGGAAACGGGGTCTGTTTCAGGCAGCTTCAGGGATTCAGAGAATCAATAGAAAGTGATTGGAAGGATAAGAGAAATTCAGATACATGCCTGAGTTCTCTCATGAAGGACTGATTTCTAAGGAAGGACTCACAAACTTGAATTTTCAATGCAAAGCTCCCCCACTCCCTGTGAGACATACCTTGGTTGTTGTTTCTAGAATGATTTCTTTGTGCAGAAGTTCAACCACCATTTTCACATGGCCTTCCTTAGAGGCCAGATGCAAGCCATTCAACCCATTCTGTAAAGAGCAGAGAGGCGGGAACGGGATGGTTAGTCAAATGGTGCATTCTGCAGGTCCCAGTGGGGGCCCAGGCCCCTTCCCAGCCCTGAGGTGTTCACAGCACTGGAGGGAAGGAGTAGAGGGTGTCTAGGGATTGAAAAGGGCACAGGGCAGGGCCACCCAGCCTCCCCTTCACACCTCAGGTCACAGCAGAGCAGAGGTGGAAAGAAAGGGCAAGAACTGGCCCACCACTCCCAGATGGGAATTACGCAGGAAGCTCTCACAAGACCCATGGTGACCTTGAAATTCAGGTTGAGGCCAGGCTTTAGGCAGCCCACTTAATTAAAATGATGTAGCTTCAACTCCTGGTTAATTTTCACAGCAGTGACCAGGAAAAGCAAAGTGGTAACACCAGTGCATCCTGAACGCTTGTAGAAATAGACATATGTTTGATAAGATGTTAAACTCTGAAGCAAGCTCATATGAGAAATGAATACCACCAACCACCCAGCTGTAAGATTTCCTCAATAGAAAAATCAGTATTAAAATAGCCCGTTTGGCCCAGTACAGTAGCTCATGCCTGTAGCCCCAGCACTTTGGGAGGCTGAAGCAGCCTGGTTGCTTGAGCCCAGGATTTTGAGACCAGCCTGGGCAACATGGTAAAACCCTATCTCTACAAAAGAAAAAAAAAAAAAAAAAAACCCACAGAAGCCAGGTGTGGTGGTGTGTGCCTATAGTTCCAGCTACTCAGCGGGCTGAGGTGGGAGAATCACCTGAGCCCGGGAGTTTGAGGCTACAGTGAGCTGAGATCCTGCTACTGCCCTCCAGCCTGGGTGACAGGGCCAGACCCTGTCTCAAAAATAAAAATAAATATAAAACATAAAATAGCCCCTTTGCCATCCCATAATTTCAAAGGTGACCAAAGAAGCCTGGCTGACAGTTAAGCTTTAGGCAAAGCAAAAACAAACAAACAAACAAACAAAAACATTTTCCCTGCCCAACCCTTAGCCCACAAGAGCAGAACCAATTAAAATTTAACCAATTGAAGTTCCAGCTGCATCTGGTGAAGCTGCCACTGTGCTTTATGGAAGGCAGCCAAGCTCAAGTTTTATGTATCACTCTCATGCTTCCTGCTCTTCTGATCCTTGCCCTGAAAGGTCTTGAAACTTTCTGGCAAAAGCTGACATCAAGGAGTGCTACTCGGAGCCACAAATAAGTCTGACGACATGAAGGAGCAAAATATCAATTCCAACAGATGAGTTGATCTTGGCTCCATATAGAAAATGATTTTAGTCAGTGAGCAAACTCCACCCCCTGCTTTTTTATTTTGTTCCTGTCCTCCTCCTTCCCCACTAGCAATTTTCCCCTCCTCTCCTGTTCCTCCTCCTCCTCCTGGCCTCCCGTTTTGATTAATTCTGTTCTATCTTGTTCCTTTCCAGGGGAGGCCTCAGAGCCACTGCAGGCTCCAGCTCATGAAATAGATCCTCGCCACCTAGACAGAGGGCTTGGTTTCTGCAGGTATGATGTGTGGGGTCCCTGACTCACATGTCCCCAAATATCTCCGCAGCCCCACCCTGCGTTCCTCAAATTCCAGCTCTCCCACTGTGTCAGGGCATTATTTTCAGGAGGTTCTTGTTCAAACACAAGTATTCTACATGGGAGTGGGAGTGCATTAGCCCATTCACAGATTAGGCAAATTGCTTTGCCATAACTAGCAGAGGAAAGTCACCCAAAGTCACGATAGGAGAATGGAAGGGGTCCAATGCTTCTTTTATGTGGGGGCCTTGGACAGAGGAAATATAACAGGTGCCTTGGATGTTAGAGAAATGAGAGGGGGCTGCAAAGGGAACATTAACTATCTCCTATGTAGGTCAGGGCAGCCCTACACCCCCACCTATCAGCACAGCCAGCCTTGCCAGGGTGTGTGTGTAGGGGAGAGAGGGTGGTTCACCAAATATTTCCTCATGCAAATGCCTGAAAATGACCACTGGCCATTAGATTTCCTCCTCTTGCAGATTTTGCACACCATTCATTGAAGGGTCCAAAGCTGTGTGGATTCTTCTCACCCGGTGTGAATGAGTTTATCAGAGAAAGCTAGGTCAGAGCCATTCTGGGTAATAGAGAGGGAGAAAGTGCTTGAGGGCCAAATGGGAATCCAGGAGAAGGGGAGAGAGCACTGGGCAGGCAGAAACCAGTTCCCCTCCCCTCGATTTGCAAGAAAAATTCACTGCAAAGCAATTTGTTGAGTGACCAGTGTGCTGGTAGCCCGGAGTCATTCTTGCTTCTGCCATCTTGCAACTCTTTTCTGGGGTGGGTGGGCAGGAAGGAGTCCCTGCTCCTTTTCAGAGCAGGGTGAGCTTTTTCAGGCAGCACACAGCATTTCTGCAAGCGCTCTTCCAACCCAGCGACAACCTTCTCAAGAAGCTTCCTGGTGCTGACAGCGGATGCCCTGTGATTGCTTGGGAACTGGGGTGGTGTTTGTGGCTGTGGGCGCGGCTGGAGTGACAGTCCGGCAGCTGCCGCGGGCTGCTTACTGCGGGAAGCTGACTCGCAGCGGCAGCCAGCCTTGACTCGGTGCTGACGGCTGGGGTTTTAGTGTTTACTTGGGCAGCACAGTCGCTCTGATGAGCATTTGTGGGTCCTGAATGCATCAAAGCCGCAAAACCAGCAAGCCTGGAAAGAAAATAGCTAATGCTTGCTGCTAATGCTCTGGGACGGCCGGCCCCTGCTCTTTGAGGCCAATGTCAGGATTTCAGTCTGGAGGCATTCTAGATATACTGTCTGACCAGAGAATGCAGGACTCAAAAGGGATATTAGAGGTCCCTGAACTCCACCCTTTCATCTGCAGCTGAGGAAGTTGAGGCCCAGAGTAGTCAAATGATTGGCAGAGGCCACACAGCCTCTCCAGGGCACACCCACACACAGGACCAACCTGGAATTCCCAGGAAAAAAGAGTTTTGGTTTTCTTCCCCCTAAAAACTACTGTGATAACTGGCTGGGCACGGTGGCTCACATCTGTAATCCCAGAACTTTGGGAACCGAAGCAGCTGGATCACTTGAGGGCAGGAGTTCGAGACCAGCCTGGCCAGCATGGAGAAACTCTGTCTCTACTAAAAATACAACAATTAGCAAGACGTGGTGACACACGTCTGTAGTCCCAGCTACTCAAGAGGCTGAGACAGGAGAACTGTTTGAACCTGGGAGGCCAAGGTTGCAGCGAGCAGAGATCACACCACTGAATTCCAGCCTGGGTGACAGAGAGAGACTCTGTCTCAAAAAAGCAAAACAAAACCCCAAACGACTGTGTTTCTTTTTATCAGATGATGAAAGCATATCTTCCCTTTTCTGGTCTCCATGAAGTTTAGAGCTAACGAATGGATGTGACCTCGGCAATTGATCTCTAGGATTTTATTCATCGCCCTGATCTGCAGAAAATCCCCTTTCTTCCCTTCCTGGGTCCCGCGCTTCCCTCGCAAAGGGCAGAGAGTAAGGACCCTTGCCACGAAAGGGGCCTCCTGAGTAGGCCTGCCTCTCGCAGAGCTGCACTCTCCCTCCATCCCAGATACTGGCTCAGTGACCTCCGTCGTCTTTATGATTTTTGAAAAATGTTTTCTCACTTTAGTGTAAATTTGTCTTTAACATAGTCACCCTAAATCACTTCCAAGTCTATTACTATGGGGATCTGAATCCACTGTTCTCAGCAGGGCCACTGAGTCAAACCCCATTGGGCACAGTTCATGAGAGAGATGCAAGATGGCCTGGGAATGCAATGCCTGTAAAAACCACATGGGGACGGGACTGCAGAAGCACTTGTCTCAAACACAGGTGTGGGCACTGTTGCCATCAAACGCTGAGCAATTACTTAACCCAACTCAACAAATATTTATTGAGAATCTAGTCCGTGTCTAGCCCTGTGCTAGAAATGAATCAAACACAAACTGTTTCCCTTGAAGAACTCAGTTTTGTAGGGAACACAGATGCATAAAAAAATAAACGCAAAATTATGTGAAAAAGGTCCCAAACAGCATGTAAAGGGGTAGAGGTGGCACAGAGGAGAAAGGAGTTGCTCTGTCAAGAAGGCCCAGAAAGCTTCACAGAGGCCTTTTCAAGGCAGAGGAGCCCACCTGCACAAAGACAGGGTTGCAAGTTCATTAACAACAGCAAGATGAGAAGCGTGTCTGAGTTTAGATTCTAAACCCATAAGCTAAAATATGCTACCAGCTCTCTCAGCAAGTAACCTCCTCTTCCTTTCCCAAAGCATTTGGATACAAGAGATGCACAAACATCCAGACCCCAGCAGCACCTCTCCTCCAGCAATTGGTCTTAGTAGGTAGATGGCTGTGTCTACCTACCTAAGGGGTGGTGACAGCCACAAGTCACCACCATCTAGCAGTGGAAGTTGCTGAACATCTGAAAACGAACCTCCTGCACACACACACGAAGGAGCTTGTACAGCTGTCTTATTAAATGTATAACTAGTTTATACAGGAGACCACTTCTGATATCCAAAAGAGCATTTCATGGATAAGTACCATATCTAATACTTCCTTTTTCTTTAAGCAGATTTTTCATTGCTCAAATGAGAAGGAGGAGGAGGAGTGCAAATTATGTGAGCTATTTGTTCTTAGCTGTAACTATGGACAGAGATGAACTGTAATTTACCACCTCTTCAAAACTGAGAATCATGTTTTACTTTAGCTAAATCAAGTTTAAGTTAGCTTGGTTGCTAAAAGGCAGCTTGCTGAGACTTGCTTTGAATCTTTTTGGTGACTCCCTCTCACCTTCACAGCCACTTTTCTTGAAGCCAAACGGCAGACAGGCTGTTAAAGGGGATTGGGGGTGTGGATAAATCACACATTTCTTCCCTCAAATAACAGGGTGTAGAAGATAAGCAAGAAGGAAGTGGAAGGATATAAAAGTAAATGATTTCACTAAATTAGAAGCTAGGGAGAAAAGCAATAACAACTTGTGGCCATTTTTTAACTATATGGCTTTTCCTAGAGGAAAACACCAGTTCA